AAATCAGTATGAATGTTGGGTGAGGACTAGGCAACGTGTACAACTGCATGAGAAAATCTGACCTACAACAAGACTCATATGTTTGATTAATATAGAAACTCTTTGGGATACATCTTTCATTTAATGTCTTAAGGGCAAAATTCACTCCTATGCAGAGGGCCAGCAGTAAACTCATGGTCTGAACTACTCTCAAGATCTGAGACTAAGAATGGAGGGGTATTTTGGCTCCAATCCTGCAGTTTGCTTGTGGAAGGCACACATTTGCACCCATCTAGAATAAAATGCAAGACAACAGCTTAATAAGCACAGGAACTTGAGCTTGGCCCTTTCTACAGGAATGAATTTCAGCCTCAGTGTGTTAAAAGGCTTGAACACGTTGGCACTACAATGGCTACTTTTACATTGATGTGCCAGTAACCCTCTGATTTTTCAATTATTTTTTAACTTGATAGACCACAAGAAGCTTTAATGGAGGTGGGTTGCACACTTATCTCACATTTTACGGAAGCAATCTTGATATCAAACCACACTTTTTAGGAAAGTAAGTCTGAGCTGAATACTCATATTAATTACATGAAACCTATGAAATAAAGATGGTGTTTCATTATCTGATAGTCATATTACCAGGGAAGAAGAAATTTTTTTTGGTAAGTGGTTTCTCTTAGCCCCCAATAACAAGATTAACAAATTCCTCTCCCCCTGCCATGTTAAGAAAATAGCAACAGAGTAAAGCGTGCTTGCTTGGTCCAATTTAAAATCTGTTCTTGATGCATAAGAATAGCAACAGTTTAATGATTTGCGATCACCACTTTTCTGGAACAGAGACTAGCACACTCTGAAATAGAAAACCAGTTGCAATCAAAGAAAAAGGGAAATAAAATTTCTCTTTAATTTTTTTTTTGTATTTCTGGGCCAGTTCTTACCACCCTTGTTTATGAGAGTTACTCCAGTGACCTCACACTTGGGAACAGGCCTTGCAAGGGATTGCGCAGATGACTAAAGGTTGGGCCAGATTATGTCATTAAACCCCCACCATATTTCAAACCATGTTGACGACAAAAGCAGCTACACTTTTTCAACTTCTTTTGCTCCTTTTTTGCTCTGGAACTTCTCCTCCCCACCCCGTGCAAGCACAGCCACAGCTCTCAGAAAGTACTCGCCCTCAGCCACAAGTGCTTCTAAGTAGCTTCCTCAGCTCGCTTATCAGGAATCAGGAGTGCTTTATGCTTTCCAGCTTGGGGTCTTAGAGAAAGAAAACATCAAAAGTGGTAGTGCAGCAACAGATGAACCGCAAGTGAAGCAACAGGCTGACGCCAACATCACCAGAAACTAATAAACTTCTGCTTTAGCTTTAATTGTAGGTGCAATTACATATTTTCTTGTACTTGCTGCAATACTTAGAACTTGCTTTTCGTTCATTTGAAAGAGTCTTTTGGTAACCATGAAACACTCCCAACCTGGCTTCCTGTATTAGGTAAAAAAGGATAACATGGTATCAAAGCATGCAGTTGTTGCACAACCGTGTTGCGGGGTTTCCTGGGTCTGGCTGTAGTATGTAGTATGAACAATGGTTCACCACCTCAATTCATCTGTTACAGAAAGGTTAAACTCAAGTCACTGCAGACCACTACGTGCTACCATTAGAAAGCTCTCAGGTTGATATTCCTGGCCACACGTTCATTAGCAAAGGCCAGAATCCACATTTTCTTTGAGTGAGAAATTGCAGTTTAAAACTCAGGTGTCCTTACACGCAAGCCTATCGCTAGACCAACGGCTCCATCTGGCTTGTAGCGCAACATGCAACAAGGCAAAAGACCTGGGCTCAAGACTACTCAGACTCCTCAGGCTGGCAAGGAGGAAGGTTAGCTAGCGCTGCATCAGCAGGAGCACCTCCAAGCAGTCACAGTGTTTTGTGAAACTACTGTATACTATGGGAAGGGATTTTTCACGGGATAAAATGGCAGCCCAGAATGCAGGGGCAGGTGAGACTGACCTGTGATCCCGACTCCCTGTTTGGGGGTGGTCAGAACCCCCTGGGCTTATGCCTTGGGCCGGGATTTGGTGGGCGAGAGAAAGCCCAGGCTCAGATGCATGGGTTACCCTGCTGCAAAAAGACAATATATAATAGAAAGTCTAAGCCAAAGATGTTTGTATCAATTATAACAACGAGGAAGACAAATGCCTATAGGAAAAGAAGCACAAATTAACAAAGGTCAGAATCCCTGTTTGGCACAAATCCTGTTCCCTGGGACCTGTTTTAACACAAGCTCCCAATTAAACTGTCAGCTTATTCAGAAAAATCTCATTATACTTCCTGGACAACTCTAATTGATTTTAATAGAAATCTTGTTTTACCAGGCCATTTCATCAACCCTGTTTGTGAAAAAGCTGCAGAAACATTTGGCCTCTTGGCATTCCTTCTGTTTTAACTAAACCATCTGCCTTTAGTAAAGAAGAAGAATTTTGTTTTAAAACATCTATAAACAATTTAAAACACCCCAGAAGAGCTTTAGCAGTCTCCACAGAGCTATATCCTTAGCAGAGGCTTGCTCACATATCTGTTAGGCACAAGGGGTCACACAAAGCCATAAGCAGTACGTTTTCAGGACTGCCCAGCTGCTTGCATCCTTCCTGATAGTGCTGCTTGTGAGGGCTGCAGAGCTCAAACCTTGCTCAGTGCTTAAGAAATTTGCTTAAATTATTAATGGCATGAGTCTCCATCTGGTGCTTGGCTGTATTCAAAATACCCTTGTGCATAAAATGTGCAGTTACTGCAGACTCATGCATATGTCAAATATTTCTGTAGACAACTGTACTAGTGCACACCTGCTTTAAAAAAACCCAAACCTGGAATCTGCACAAGGTATGACACAAATTAATCCAATTTTCTAGTGGTTAACTGCACTGTCTCTACTACTAACAGACCCTTTTCTTCCACCTCAACGAGTGTGCTTCATTGGACTCCCAAGGGCTTCAAAGCAGCTGGTGTTGCTTTTTGTTTTCCTAAATGAGGAGATGCTGGCCACAGTTAGATCATTCTCAATTTTCTCTGCCCTCAAAGGAAGCTCTCTCTCTAACGAGAGCCACTGTGGGCCATCAGCAATTCTCTGCATTCCCCACCAAACTGGCACCTGCATCATTCAGTGGGAGCACTCTAAGGGGTGACAGGCTTGCCAAGGAGACTCAGACAAGCCATGCAGTCCTGTGCAATCCAGGACAGACCCCAGCAGGAGAAGGAGCATTTTCCTACCCACAGGTCTCTCCAAGGAACACAGGTTGTGCTTCATCCCTAACAGGCCTCCTGCCTCCAGCACCAGGGCTGCTGCTGGGTTGAGAGACTGGACTGTAACATGCAGCAGAAGGAAAGCAAAGAATTCAGGAGCAATTGTAAAGGAGAAAAGTTTACAGGGAAAAATATTTCAAACTCACATCCTCTCTGTCTACCCTCTGTCTACTCCAAAGTTCTCAGAGCAAATTTATAATATATAAGCTGAACAGCACAGAGGAAAAAATATGCCCCTTGGGGTTTGTTGGTTTTACTGAAAACAATACTCTTCCCATGCAGTTATGTTCACTCTCGTGATCTGGTTTCTTGCTTTAGGGTCCAATTAAGCCCCAGTGGACACCTCTGCTGAATGACAGAATAATGGTATTATTTTTTAAAAAAATTTAGCTTATTTTGTTTAAGAAATACAATTGGAAAATGAAGGAAAGCACAGGACAAGTTTCTAAAGAAGCTATACAATCTCAATTGTATTTGTGGCAGTTTGGTCAATTTTTGCTTTTATCAAACTGGCTCATGCAAAGAGAAAAGAAAACTAAGAAAATAACATTCCAGTAAGACTTTATCAGCACAAAGACCAAAAGCACAGGGGCACTTGACAGATGAACTCCTTCAAGGGATCTGGGGCTGAAATTTCTGGTTGCCATTTTGACCATGCACTGATATAATTACAATGTGCATCAAACTATTGTTTCTGTAACTTATAACAGAATCTTCTCTATGAACGTTTCTGAGCCCACTCACCTCAAGACACTGCACCAGAGGCAGAAGAACAGTTTCAAAACAAACTCAAATGCCCCAAACCGAAGAAAGCAGGGCCCAGGGAGGAGTTAGCATTATTAGTCTCCAGCAGGGTTGGTATCAAGCCCATTTGCCCATGGAGATGCAAAGTTAGTACAGGGAAATGACACAGGGCACTGTTCTTGTCACTATAGTCAAAGAAGGGGTCATTCCTGTGTGGCATAAGTGCTGTAAGAGCAGGCCAGTGCTTGACAAGCCCAGAGATTATGTTTCCAGCCACTCACCATTCATTCACAAAAAAAATCTGAACCATCAGGCTTAAGTAAGAAAGGCTTTTTCTCCATGGGGAGCACTGCACACATGGGGTCTTCAGTAAATGTAACCAACCAATCAATATAGAAAGCAACTCCAAGCCAAACTGGAAAGCTCTGGGGATTGGTTGCCTGGGAAGGACTCTCACTACCCACCTACTGCATGGCTTACTCAAGACTGGCTGTTTTACAAAATAAACTTTAGGGCACTTTCAAAGCAGACAGATACTTCTCCTAAAACCTCCAGGCAGACACGCAGATATACAAATCTCTAACTCTGCAATGGCCCCACCCATGGTGAGACAAGGGTAGGAAACAGGTTATCAGAAAGTCAGTATTGAACCAGGATACACTCAGCAATGGCAGTTTACTGTAGACAAAAGCCTGCAGTGATGGTGCAGACTGCCACCATCATTGGGAATTGCTATGGAAACGACTGTGAGGAAGCCTACATAAAAAAGAAAATTGATAGTTAATTTTTAAAAATACATTGAAAGAGGCTGAAATATATTAGCCAAACCATTTACCAGATTATTAGTCAGCAATCAGAATAGGCCACAGAGCAAAAATGCAGCTGTCTATTTTTCAGTACTGTTAACTCCATCTACAAAACACAAATATGAAAACTGTGCTTTTCGGCCTTGCTTTTATAAATTCAAACTTACTCAGTTGAATTAGACCGTGGCCTAAATCTTTTGCCTCTGATTTTCTTTCTGTTTCCTCCTATATTACCTGAAAGAAATTAAAGGATAAAGACAGATGATAAAAAAAAACCTGAAACTCATCTGCATCTCATGCAAAAGTGTATATTCTTTTTGTATCCCCAGCAAGATTTATTACCTCATTAGCTTTAACCATTTAAAAGTAAAAGGCCAAACCCTCTTGATTTACCTCAGACCACGTAAACTAGACACTTAGGTGATCTCTCTCTACTTTTTGCTGCAACTCCACAGAGCAAAAACTCCTTAATTTCAGCTTTCATTCGAGAAAATTACTACATGTCAACAAAAACACTAAACACTGCCTGAAAGTCACAGAAGCTAGCAAGACTGAAGAGATTTCTTCTTCTTTTTTATTTTAGCTCACAATGGAGGAATGGGAGAAATCAAATGTCATTTCTATGTGCCAAAGCACTGTGCAAGAAAGGTGCTGGTGCATAGCGCTTCTAAATCCGAATTCCAGGTTAATAACAATTACACAATTTTAAGGAATCATGCTGCTGAGCTGAGCAGCAGTGGCGCATAGACTGGTCTTCACTGTGGCCAGCACAGAGGTTCACACTTACCTTGCCAAGAATTACTTCTAGGCCTCCCATTTTCACAAATGTCTGAAATATGTTTTGTGTCTGGGATCCTTTCACTCCAGGAATGAGATAATCCATTTGACCTGGAACAGGAGGGCTTAGATGTGGTTATTGTTAAGGGTATCACTTCACATCAATGTTAACTCAGCAGTTCAGAGAGTCACATTCCCGGTGACATAACACAGCCTAAGGTCTGTCTGCACTAGCAGAGCATCCAGGGTTTCTGGTTAAACCCCATGGTTACGCTTTGCCAGCTGTCCCTGCAGTGATTTGGAGTGTCCATATTCAAGAGCCAGGATTCAGCACTGCTTTCTCCCATGTCTACAGTGTAAAGCACAAACGCCAGCTTACACCACATTTACAGCTCTGCCCCAGTTCTGAGCTAGAGATGCTCTTCCAACTGTCCTTAAGTTGTTTTTTTCCTCACACCTACCCGCAGGCTTCCCACTCCCTCCTTGTGCTGCTGCAGGACTGCTTCCATCTACCCCTCACAACGAGCCTCAGGGGCCCAAGAGTCTGCAAGGAACATCCTCCTACCCTCAGCTGGTAGCTCCAGTGGAGGGGTAAATGTCTCATTTTTGCTAATTTTGAATGTTTATTGTATTTTGCTGGCTAGTCACTACAGAATATAATTCTAATCCAAAACTCAAAGTCAAAACCAGTCTTTATATCTAGGTGCTTGGAGAAAACTAAAGTCTTTCTTCTTGTACTCTCTTTAAGAGCCAGAGATGTTTGTGTCGAGGTCCAACAAATGGGGTTTGGCAACAGACTCCCTCCTGTTAAACCAGAGCTGCTGCTCAGCTGTTTGCCACAATTGTTGATCTACAATTACTACCAAAAGAGAAGAAAACAAAAGGAAGTTGAAAACTGGTCAGAATACATAGCTTATTTATTAAAATAAGTTTTTCTTAGAAACTACAGAAATAGATCCTTTAAGTCTGAATACTCCTGCATTTTTCAGTCTCGACTTTCTTTGGAGGGCTGGCATCTGACAGATGCTCTTCAGTTTCTAGAAGACCAGATTAATCACAACCACACTGAATTAGGCCTGGGATTTCATCAAGTCACACTAACTCTACAGCATGAAAGGCCTGAGAAACAACTGATCCATTAAGAGATATTTTAATAATTTTCTCTCCTAGTGTGGTCAAGAATATCTTGCTATACATGGATTTTGGTCTTTGCTGGTTCATAATAGCAAGAGTTATCATAAAGTTATCTCTTAATCCTTTAACATCCTAATACTAACACTTCATGTCACTTTCCAGCATGGACAAGCCCAGGTGGCTGGCTACTGCCCTGGTCATTCTAACGTCTCCCAAGAGATGTCAACCATATTTGCACATGAAGAAATAACACTCTGGGCATTGAAATGGGAGGACTATGTCAGCTCCACCACAGTGTTAATGGAGCATTTGTCAGACTTACTTTTCCAGACGGTTACAGTGGCACAACATACCTTAACTGGTGGTGGGGAACAACAAAACTCTCTAGTACAGACAGACCTTAGAAGCCATTAGCTTTTTGGAACAAATAAGAAACACAGACACATGAAAGAAATGAAGTATGAAGAAAAACCACAGATACTGAATGAAAGAAGAAAGACATTAAACGATTATTCATTTAGAAACAAACTTTTTTTCTTTAGCTGGTATTTACACCTGCTTAAAGCTATGAAAACTTGCTTCCCCAAGACTTTAAGAAATTTTATCTAAATGGGAAAAGATTCTCCAACACATACCATGCAACACTTAAGAATAATGCTTGCTCCCTGAAAATAAAAATGTTATCCTCTTGCAAATATAAAAATCTGAATTTAAAAAATTAGAAATCATTAATTAATTATATAGTACTAAAGTTTTCTTAATAACATATTCACTAGAACAAACTGTATGAAGTGACACATAGCTGCTATACCCAAATAGCAAATGTCAGTGCAAATTTATCCCTTCCATACACTTTTCTCTATTTTCTTTGAAATAACAACAAAGAAAATTATTTCATCGACTGCACAGCTATAGGCTGCTCAGCAATACAAGAATTGAGAATCACAGTTTTCTTAGGAAGTGTTTCAGGATTGTGTAACCCTCCTACAACACTGTGCTTTTCATAAATTGTTTTAAAGTGCTAGCTGGAAATTTTCATAATTACAGGATCTCTAACCGCAGAGTGATAGTGAGCATCCTGACCTAATGACCTTAGCAATTAAAAATGGCTCTCAATGCTTTTCTATGAATTTCCCATTTTAAAATGTTGTGGGGTTTTTTAAGTAACTGGAACAATAACAAAAATAGAGAAATCTGATGAAGAGCAAAATTTAATGCCCTCCTTGATTACTCATAATAGGCAAGCACAAGAGTACAGAAAGTCCCTGTAGAATAATTTTCTAAGATAACACTTGGTGACCATTTAGTATACTAGTCGAGCAAGTGGAATAAAAAGGAAGCACCATCGTTTTTAATGTGAGACAGCAAGAATATTATCCAGAACTCTAGGCCTACACCGTGAATTAATTAAATTGACAGATAAAGATATAAAAATAACATTTACATTGAACAGTTTATGTTTATAACTATTATTGAAACAAGACAGTGTTCCTTTTCTTTGATTACATGACCATGATTTTTAGAACTGTGGTTCTTTTATTATTTTTTTTTTTGGAGCCAGCAATTATTATTGCAAGTCTACTTGAAAATAATTCAAGTGGGGAGATGGTGAAAATTTGATTAACTAAAAATTGGTTTACAATGGAAAACTTGTTTATTCTGGACTAATTGTAATAATTAGCAACTCAGGGCTTGTGAGAAAAATCAGTAATCAAAGCACAAAGGATTCTATTTCACACATTTCACATAGAAAGAAGAAAGAATCAAACCTGCTGCAAAATAATGAAATGTTCTGACTAATGGAATAATGGGTGATGGAACAGGTAGAAATCTGAAAATGCGACAGAAAAGCAGACCTCTTCTTAGAACTAGACGCAGAGTTTGTGCTGACTCCAGGAGGCATGTCGCTATAAAAAGAGTCGGCCTCTCCAGGCTTTTTTACATAATCTCCCTGGGGTATTTGTCTAAAGCATAACAAACATTGTAGAGTCAGAAAACATGACAGGCACCAGCACACACATAAACATGCACAAATATTAGTTTAAAAGAAAGAGGGGAGGATAGCGATCCTTGAGGAAACCTGCTAACCACACACAATAAGCTTATTAATAAATAATTCAAACATCTGAGAGAAAATTCCCACGTGCTTCTGAAATGTGCAGAAAAGTGGATTATGTGGTTTTGGTAAGGGAAAACAAGGACCATTTCACTGATAAACTCTGATCACAATTTTCAAAGTGGATAGTTTGCGGTTCTTGAGACACTAGATAACCAAGTTCAGGCACTGCAAATGGCTCATTGTGTCGGCTTCAAAAATCATCCCCAGGTGCAGCTGCAAGTACGGCAGCCTGAGCTGAATGCATGCCTGCGTGAAAAAAGAGTTCAGGAGAAGTGAATGCTTCTGACGTAGATGCTTTCCATTTAATTTTTGTGATCATTACTGATTTCAAGAATACCAACCTGTTGAGTCGTTTAAACCTCAAGAGGCGAAAAACCTCCAGTTTATTAACTGTTTTATTTCACAAGGGAACTAATGCCAGTGTCAGAGGTTCTCAGCTACTGCCGATTACTGCAGCAGACTCAGTCTCCCAAGACACATAGTAATAATGCTACATACATTTGACAATAGTTTATCCTTTTCCAGCACTAGAAGCTTAGGCTCTTCTATGGTGCATGAAACTATCTATGCATTGAAAATCATAATTAAGTTATGCAACTTTTTGCAGATGGTGAATTCATTGCCAGCAGAAAATCTGTCGTGCAAATATTCCAGTTACAGTTCCACCAAGTTGAAAAATTCTCCCTAATACCAGTAGCTACTTTGAAATTTGGCTATATCATCATATCAGCAACTTAATTATCTATTCAGCCTTGCACCTCCCAAAGCCTTTTTGCTTCAGTCTGCCCCTATTAAGATGTCCATTTACCAGACAGTTGATTCACATTCAGATTGTGTCCAACTATAGACCTGAACAAGGCTGTCTTCACTCCATATCTGAATTTCTAATGCTCTTTAAGTATTTAAAATATATTATTATATGGTGCATAAATCATCAGTGTAACATAGCACTTCCATATTATTTCTTCTGGTATCTCTTGAGTCTCAGTTCTTGTCCTGTTCCTTGGCTGGTACATTAATGTGTTGGGAGTTGATTCAGTACGGGCAGCTCTGCTCTCCAGGTTTTCTCCAGGAAACTGCCCTCTTGAAACTTTGTCAGACATAACTTCTCCCATGTGTAGCTGTGCCCTTTAAGCCACACTATCCCAGCTAACAGAGTCCTTGTTAATTCACTCTATTATTTTTAGTTTACTCATTTCAATTGCCTAGCACTACCAAATACCATTCCTTACATAATGCTCAAAAGTACCTCAATAGCTTGTTTTCATCTTTCTTTAATGAGTAATCATAAACAATTAAAATTACACTCTGGACACTCTGATAGATGTCTGTTCCAATTATGGAGCACTCCTTGTACATATCTAAAACTATTCTGTTTAGAAATCAGCCTGCAGAACTCCATTTTCTGCATGAAGGAGATTTACTTCTTAAATATCTCTATTATCTTTAAAATTATGGAGCCCTCCATCATCTACAAAAGCTTCAGCCTGTGCTGGTTTTCACTCTACCCATGCCCGCAGACACAGCTGCAGACTGACTGCATACTCACAGCTCTCTGACCCCTGGAGATGAGGAAATATGAAAAAGTTAGATTCTTTAATATTCCAATTTCAACACACAGGCAGTTTCTTTCTGTATTTTGAGGTTTTGGCTGCTCTGACCTCAGCCAACACTAATACACCCACAGCCGAGTGACCTGATGACCATGTTAGTCTGTGCTTATACTGCACTTAGCAACACCAAACCCTCAAACTGCCTTCCTTGTGCTGGGTGACCCACCTCTCCATAAGGCTTCAACAACTTTGTCTTTTTCCCGTTAGCATTCCAGCCACCTATCTGACCTCACAGGACACAATAAGCACTTCGCTGAGCTTTCCTGCTCTTTGCAAGTATTTTGAGCCTGGCATAGAAAGCACGACACAGTGGAATGGAGAACAAGCATAACAGGCAGCAGCAACAAACAAAGCAACAGCTTGGAAAAGGAAGAGGTGATACAGGCAGAAAATGGGAATTTGAGAAACTCTCAGATCTGTGGGGGATTAGGAGAGGAAGGATCCAGCTCTTTCCCAGAAGACCCATCTGCCAGGCAGATGGCTAATCAAAGAGAGATGGCCTTCCAGGAGGTAACCCCAGTCACAAGGAACTGTTTGGTTTTGGGCCACAAGCTTGAATGGGTTAAAGCTCAACCCTGTGCTGAAGACAGTACCATGCTTCAGGTACAAATCAATCCAGCAGGCTGGCAGGAAAGAACGGGCTCTTCATGCACACAGTTATTTAATGGTATTGTATTTTTAACTGCAAAGAAGCTCCAGGAATGAATTTGTCTCAAAAGGCTCCTGAACATCATGTTAATATTAATTATTCAATACCCAGCGTCCCAAGAACATTTTCATCTCTAATAACAGATTTTCAGTCTCTTTTATTGGAAATATTCTCCTGTTTTCCTAAATAAAATAGTCTATCTCAGAAATAAATGTTATTTTTGCTACCAAATCCAGTGAAACGAAGATTTCAAGCAAAGCATTTATAGAATAAATATAAATTTAATATATTCAAGAAAATACTATTTAAAATATGATAAATCATCATTGTATTTTCTTTCTAGAAAAGACAGTGATCATGATATTGTCTTCATAGCATGTCAACAAGCAAGAGAAAAGAAAAGCTATTTTCAGAACTTTCTAAGACTCATTCCATTACTTTTATCACATACCTCTGTCTTCTGTAGTTTCTTTCCATAAAAAGAGAAGAGAATAGAAAAGAAGAAAAAGAAAGAAGAATGAGTCATCAATATGCAGGTAAACATGGCCAGTAAGAAGGAAAAAAAATTGAAGAGAAAAGCAATGTACACAGATTGGAATTTTTTCTCAAAATATTTGTACAGAAAATACTTCCAAAGTAACCATAAGTACACACATGCAAAATCAGAATAAAAAAAAATATATTCATGTTCATGGCTAAAGTCAGAGCTGATGTGGCAGTGCACTTAATGATGACTTTAGGTCTATTCACTATGAAGCTGCTTGTGAAAGGTGCACTCTTGCATTCCACCTCCAAAAAGTAACCCCACTGGCTAGATGTGATCTCAAAGTGAGCCCTTAACTTTTGGAGTTATATTCAAAATGCAAGTCCAAATTTTCAGATACTGTCTAAAACTAAATGTGGTATACAGCATAACCAACCCTTTGACTACCCTAATCTTCAAGCTTTTTTCCATATACTTCTTTTCCTATTTATTTCTGAGCTGCTCTCAGCCTCCCTCAGTCTAACAAACCAGCAGGGGATGTGCCAGTTCCTTATGTTAAAACCCCAGCTGGGGCTGTGCCCCAGCTACCACGCTGCCTGCAGCTGAACCAGCCCTCCAAGCACACCAAGGATCTGTGGAAGAATTACTTCAATAGCCAGTCTCACCCAAAAATAGGTGACAAAGGAAGTACCACAAATCTTTTATTAATATATGCAAAAATCCTAAACCCTCTCTTTTTAGAAGAAATTCACAAAAGGAGAAAAACTAAAAAATATCAGTAAAGCTAAAATAACCCATTTTGCCTTTCAGTGAGTGGAAAACTGACAGCTCTACACCTGGAGAAAACTTGCACCTTATTTGCAAATTACAGATCTCTCTTAGCAAGAAATGTGCCTGCAATAATTTCCAGTTAAGTTGACTGAATACAAACATCCGTTTAAAGAAGCCTATGGTTAAATGCTTTACTGACTGACTGAAGGCTAGTCTTTCTAAATTTACTTCATCATTAGGAAACATTTATAACTGAATCAAACTGTATTCTTCTATTTCCTTTGCCAAATACAGTAAAATCATAGTCTGACCATGTACAAAAAGAAAATAACTAAATTGGAAATAAATTTAAAAAGTGGATCAAGCTCTCCAAGACCACATACACATGTTAAGAATTGCTTGAAAAATGCTTACACTATAAAAATGTGACTTTATAAATAAAATCCAATTTTTATTTGTTAGATTATGTTTGAATTGTTCTTTTCATAACATAATCAGCTATCAGATGAAACAAAGGTACGTATTAACTGTATTAGGAAGAATAAAATTTACTTACTTGTAACCCCAACCAGTTATTCCTAAAACGAGAGTCAACACTAAAATGGTGCCAGCAATAGCCCCTATTATTATATTTGTGCTAACAACACCTGGAAACACAAGAAAGAGAAAAAACATACAGGGTTTTATGAGAAATATATACAAAACCAGTAAGCACATGGTCTTTCAGAAACCTGCTTGGACAACTTGCACTATGCTGATTAATTGCAACCAGAGATACAATCTTGAAGAGCAACATGGACATAAAAAAATCACTTTGACCTCTATGTCCACTTCCCTTAACTGAACACCTGCTACATGGGAAAGTTGTGTCGTGTGTGCCAATCTAATGTTACCAGTTTTAAACTGCTGTAGCTTACATCCTTATAACCTGCCTGGCAAATATATGCCTACATTGGAACAAAAGTAACTTTTTTGGTTTTGTTTTTGCTCAAATCCCTTCCATTGCTGAATAAACTAACCAAAAGAGACATTCTGGAAGATGGTAAAACAGTCCTCCCACAAGGTTTTATAAGGAAAAACATTTACACCCTCATTTTTTTCACAATATATCTTCCTCTTTTATACAAGTCTAAAGATGAATAAAAACTTTCACTCAAAAAATGTTAAAAGTCTAAAATTTGTGTGCCAACATTCTGCATACTGGCCATGTAATAAAAAATAGACTCTAAGCATAAAAAACCCAATCATTTAGGCAGCATTATGTTTCCATCTAGATATGAGAAGTCCCAGTAACATTTTGCTTGACCTAATCTATGTACTTAGTAAGGCCACTTAGATGACTGGGACAAGCAAGGTACAACTGGACACACTGGTACCAGTCCTGAGAGGTTTACTGAGTGCTTGTGAGCAGCACTGCTCGCATCCAGCCCCATGTCTGGGACCTCTTTCACAGACACTGAGTGCTTCTGCTGTGGGAGGAAGGGAATGAGGCTCGAGTGGTAATCATCTTGTATGCTAACCCTTGCTGATTTTGCTTCATGAACCTTCCTCAAATCCAAGCTCTTTCCAGTTACTGGTAAAAATTATAACAACGTACCTTTATTCATGCCATCTTTATCAAAAGAGTTAACATCTTTGATGCGAGAACTGCAGTCATCTCCTCCCCAGAATCGGTCACAAACACACTTTATTTCATTGCTACAAACCTGCAGCCAAAAGTGTAGCTCAGAATAAAATCACAAAAATAATATATTCAAATAATTAATGCCTATATTATAGGTACAGTCATACAGAACTGATTTTGACTGCCAGCAACATTTTGCATAACGTTTCTAATACACATCAATTTTTAGTTCATATGTTAGGTATAAAAGTATTATATGTATCGTTATACTTTTTTAGAAATATATGTAATATGTATTTAGTACCTTAATATATTTTAGTGTCATAGATTTAAGAGTAATTTATAATTTCATAGGGCGACTCTGAACCTCAGTGATTTTATTTTTGCTAAGTATGACAAAGTGGTTAATTTCAGATAAAACAGGGAGTTTAAATGCAGTACAAAAGACATTATGAGATAACAACTCCTTTGATCTCAGCCATAGCCTTGAGATCAGCCACAGGAACCTGGACACTGTTTCAAACTGTGGGAGGGACTACAGGACTGGCCAAAGCCACAGGCTGTGCACCATGCAGAGAAGCTGCCACTAGACAAAAGCCAGCTCAGTGGCCTCTGCTCTAGAGCAAAGTAACTCTCAGCCAACAATCCTCAACAATTTTATGAACTCTCTTGGCTCTTGATATAATACAGGGGGCACTAAAAAGAGCATCTGGAAGAACAAAGACCCAAGTTTCTCAGTTCTTAAATCTTTATATTCTCTAACAAATTGCCTGAGGAAATGTCAAGTTAGCAGAAGTGATAGGAAAAGAATTGATTGATATAATTTTTGCAAAACTAATAAGTACTGTGATGTCTTGACTGGTGTGCATCATGTTTATTTATGTTCCTCCTCCCCCTTTCAAAAAGATTCGTTTCAAAAGATTTTCCAGTATAAACACTTCTAGAGTCATGCTGCTGAAACATCTAGCTAGTACACTACACAACACAAGACACTCAATAAAAACTGAAGAAAGGATTAAAAAGTACAAGAACATACACCGTGTCCTGAACAAATCTGGCTGTCTGTGGTGCCTGGGCAGGTGCTGAAGTTGAAGGCCTCGGTGGGGAGGCAGCGATGATCAAGGCACACCATGTTTGGTCCACACGGCGTCCCATTCTCCACATAGCCCAGGTCAGTCTCCTCATCCAGCTTCACGTGGCCGCCGCTGCAAGACAACAAGAGGATCTTGAAGATTTGTGCTGTGATTAGATGAGACTGCTTGAGAAACTGGGCTTTAGCCTCTGCCTTCATTTCCATCTGCATACAATGCCCAGGACCAGGAAAGAGTAAGCATTGGCTTATTAATCTCATTGGCCCTCACACGAAACAAACCAAAATGCAGTATATCTGCATCAAACACACGTAATGGTGAAACCACAGACCATTTTTCCTGTGCAAGAGCTAGTGTGGATAAAACATTGAGTTTAATTGTGTAAGACTTTGTTCCATCTTACACATCTTAGCTGTGTGAAGCTATCAGAACACACCAGGTCTATAATTGAGATTCAGTTAACATATGGCAACATATTAAGCTGCCAGTTAGCTTTGGCAGTGCAGGCATATGTCTAAGTATTTTGAGTACGTTAAGTACTTCACAAACATTAAAGAATATAAAATCAAGAGGCCAGAGAAGAGCATTATGTCTCTACAGGCAAAATGAACTGCTACATAGAGGGGACTGTAAAACATCTGTGCTCCCCACATGCAGTCAAGTTCCTGAAGTTTAACAGAGGCTAAGCTAGAATAATGGTTATGTGTTAATAGGAAAAATATTTTAATGGAAACAGTTGTTCTCCACTTTGGAATAAGAAAGCTGCTTTTCCATGCAAGATGGATATTGATTGTCTCTGTTCTGTTTTCAGGACATCCAATTACCTGCAATTGTAGACTTTTCCAAACTGCAAGATTGACGATGTGATTTCACCATCAAGTTCTCCAAGTCTGGGTACACTGGATATATTTGAGCACAGAAGGTATCCACAAAGTACATCCCTGCATTGAGAGAATAAACAGATACTAATTGAAAAGAAAATTCAATTAAAATGGACAATCAAAGAAATGTTTTTCTTCACTTGCTTTGGAACACGGTTGTTACTCCTTGCTTTTCTCCCACAGACAGTAACTTCCATAAATAATGTTTTGTTTCCCAAGAAAATTATTCTCCTTGGAGCCGAGATTGGGAAAATAGACTCTTTTAAGATGTATTATCAAAAAGCTCTGAGTAATAGCAAGCAGGAAGCTGTCAAGAACAACCCACATCAAACTGATTTATTATTCTAGTAAGATACAGTAACTGACCTGTAGAGGAGAAGCAGTAGATGGCTTTAAACTGACTCTCCTATGACACTCATGCAAAGGAACTAGAGCCATCAAGTTCAACTCACCTATTGAAGGAATTTCACAACCCATATGTGGAGACTTGTGCACTGTCTGGCCTCTCCCACATTACTGAGTATTTTTTTCTCATGAACAAGAGAGAGGTTATCAAATCTGCATAAAAGCGTTGCTAAGGACATCAGTCTAGCTACATGCAGAATTAGAATTCAATGGCATTGACAGAATGGAGAACTCAACCTGGCAAAAGTTTCAGAAATAGGCAGAAATACTCAACTGCATAAATACAGAATGTGGAACAATGGTTTAGGAAGCAACGTGCAAGAAAAGATGTGGAGGGTTACAATAAGATGAAAACTGAACACAACTTAGCAATGCAATGGCACAGCATAAAAGGTGAACACTACACTGAGACACAAAACCAGGCCACCCTCCTCTGCACTGCTAAGCCTCAACAAGAGTACTAGGATCACTTTTGCTCCAAGTGCTCCCAAAGCTCAGATAGTACTCTCTTAACAGAGATCATCTCCTGCTGACATTCCTCTCCCTCCAGAATTTCCTGGACTAAGGCCTGCAGAAGTTTGCTCTGTAGAGAGGCTTTTTGAGCCTCTTCGTGCCAGCTAAAGAACTGGATCTGGGATTAAAATCTCATACCAGTTGTTTTCTAAAGGGATCAACTTACTGTTTATTGCACTGTATCCAAGAGTCCTTGTCTCTTCCACAGTTTCCTTTCTCAGTTCCTTCAATATTCAGCTTCTCATAGCAGTACTTGTCAGCAGCTGTCACTTCTAAAGAAAGAAACAAATCTCTTTTAAGATGGGGAAGACTTCAAAAAGCCAGGTCCTGGGAAATGGCAATGAACAATCAAAGCAAACACAGCTTCCCAGTCTGTGAACTGCAGTACCAATGGTCTGCAGGTGGTCTGTGGAACTCTGAATAGTGTTGTCAATGAGAAGTTTTCTGCTGGCACCACAGGACTGTTTTAAGATTCTCTTCAGATTGACCAGGGTTTACTGGTCAAAATATCCAGAAAACACTGAAATAAATCAATAAACATGAGTATAGGCTCCCTAGGTGGTTATTAATGAGAAGTTATACCTAAGACTTCAGAGTAATAAACAGTAAGTTAACTAACACTAGAGAAAGAGCTGGAAAAGTGGATGGAAAGACAAAATGAGGAGGGAAGAGGGGGAGCGACATACAATCCTATCTATTTTTAATGGTTATGAATATGTCTCTTCCATGATTTTTCTCAGCTAAGATAATTTTTCAAGCCACACGAATGACAACCAACTTAGAAACAGTAACATTCACTCACTTTCACCCCAGATATATTTACACTGCCGGTCCCTGGTTTTACATCTTCCTCCAAAACAAAGACCCTAGAAAGACAGAAAAAGTTTCAAGTAACCTGATTTTCCAAAATATTTAATTTTTTAATATACAGATTTCTCACCTGTTTTCTATTGAAGCAACTGTTAATGTGATTCTACTTTCTGTTCATTTAAATACTTAGCTCCAAAACATAACCAGCACCCAAAACTGCAGAAAGTCAGCAGAACTGTGCCAGGTGATTTCCAAAGATCTTAAACCAAAATCTATAAAAAACACTCTATAAAAGCAGAAAATATGTAAAACAATTTGGCATGCAAATTACCTGTTTGTTATCACATGAATATCCATCCATTTTATGAATATTGGGAGAACACTACAGAAAGAGAAAATAACTAATAGACCATAGATCAAATAAGCATGGAAGCAAAGCATTTAACAACTGTCATATTTTAAATTATTTCAATATTATGCTGCTTTTTTCAGTATGACCAGTTATAAAACAATTTTTAGACACCTTACTATACAAAATGGCAACATTCATAGTGATTGAGAGATTACAGGTGTTTTTTTTATCTCTCGGATAGAAGACAAAAAAATCACCTGACTGGAATTTCCTGTGCAGTTCTCTGCAATATCACAATCATTGACTGCTTCTCGGCACAAAACTCCTTTAGGTTCAAACTGGGGAAAAAAAGGACAGAAAATTAGTGTCTTGGTTTCTCCATATCATGCCTTAAATGCAATGCTTTCTAAGAGTTTTAGCTAAAATAAAAAATGGCAAATTTAAATGTGTTGACTCAAGTAAGAAGACTTTCCTTTCCTGGTTTGGACATTGCACCTGTCAAGCCACCAGCCATTTACGGGTGCAAGTGGTATGACTGTCTGAGGCATCCCTTCCTGAGTGCACTGAGTGTGGGGCTGAGCAGGGCAAGTGCTCTCCCAGAACACAGGATCCCTGGCATCTATTAAACCCATAATATAGTGACTTGCAGTATTATCTTGACCAGGTCATTGGGCCATTTTGTGACTATTTTACTCTTATAAAACACAGAGAGTAATCCTGATCTTCTTTCTAGGGATGAAGAACATGGCAAAGCTCTAGGTATTAACACCATGGTTATTACAATGATCCGTTGTAGAACAGAAAGTATTAATAAGTGTACTGAATTCCATTCAGTTTGACACCATTTTCTAAGTGACAAGATACTGAACAACCAAAAATGTCAGTGACCTAACACAGGCATTTTGGTTAAAGACTTCTGTGAAGTCTTCAAGACCTGTAAAGTCTGGGATGCATGCCATTAGTGGCAATTGTTAGTGCAGACCCCTTATTTTCCTTGAAAGGCTTCTTAGACGTAAGATGCTTCTTCATTCTGTGATGTCCTGTTCATTTTACAGCTCTATGCTTTTTTTTCTGGTTCTGAATGGTTTTTTTTGGGAGAACTGCTAGCTCCACAGCTAGCGTGAACAGGCACACGTCAGCAGAAGAGCTCAACTCTGGTACTTTCTCAGTTTTCAGCTTATCTTTCCCTGTCAGTCTCTGGAAAAATGCAGACAGACAGGCATGTTGTCAGAAACACTACAGATGATGGAATGCACACAAACCATGTTTTGCTTGCAATCCCTCATTCACTCCTGCTTTTAGGAAGGGTATTAGAGGCAAAAGTAACCCCAAGTTTGGGAACTGTTAAATATGGGGGTTTTGTATTGACCTGATTAACACTCCCAGGGACATGTGCTTAGCAAAATTCTGCTTTTGTCTTCACTGGCTCATCCTCACCACTCTGTATGTAGACAAACCCTTGTCTCATTTGCAAAAAAAATGTAGTTACACAGAAGCTGCTTTTTTTTTTTTCTCCCCCTAGGAGTCTTTAATATGGTGCCTATGTGACTTGGATACTTGAAAAAAATTCACCCACACTGGCAATCTGCTAATCTTTTATATTTAAAAAAAAAAATCCCACACAAATGTGCTCAGGGAAATGTGATCAGTTTCAGCTTAATCTATGCTTTTTCTTTTTTGAACAGTAGGATGAGCACAAAGTTAAGAATGTGGTCCGCTGTTATTACTAATGTTCCTCCTAAGGAAATTAAACCCTCAGATGCCCAAAGATGAACACAAAAATAACACACATAGTACACCACAGTTTTAATAACATTAATAACAACTATCATCATTACTAAATTAGTATAAACAACTATTTGAAGTTATATTTAGCTAGGCTCCTTTTCAGCAAAGATGTGGCTAAACCACCTTTTACTATTTATTAATGAATCAGGAAGACTAACTTATAGTTAATATAGGGTTTCACTCCCTTTACTCAGCAGGATTTCGGTCAGTCCAAACATAAGGAGACACATGCAGACCTAACCTAAACTGAAGTCAGGTGTCTTTTAGATTAACACTTCTGAACAATTCTGCTAGCTGTGGGTTTGTTGAGTGTTTTTACCATAGCCTTTTCTTGGGCCTCTGTGGTATGATTTTCCCAGTCTCACATGGCAAATACAGAGCAACGTGTAAGGTGCTGGGAGCAAAACATGGTTAAGGATGTTCATGTTTAAACAAGGACATCTAATGAAACCTTATCAAACTTCAACCTGATTCAAACACAAGTTTTGCAAGGAAAAAGATGTGCTATGGTGCCTGTAGCCACCTGGATGCAGTGAAGGTCCCTGCCCTTACCCGGCACTTCCGACAGCAAAGCCCGTTGCTGCACTGGGAACCTGCCGTCAGGGTGCACGTACTGCAGCACTCCCCGCCTTCGCTGGCACACTCCTGGGGAACACACACACTTATAACAGAATACGTGGGAAAAGCAGATGAGTCTCAAGCTGTCGTATTACTTCTCATCATAGCATGCTACCTGAATGGATTTTTAACCAGGCTTTTAGGCACCTGGAGGCAGGGAAAAAAGCATGCGCTGTCAAATTAGACACTCACTTTTGCTATGCAAAATAGGAAATAGTTTTTCTAACTTCACAGTTTCGATAATTAAATACTGACATTTTAGCACTGACCAGAGTCATGTGCCCACAGAGGAAAATACTTTCTTCAACATCTTCCAAGGCCTGATTTTGTACAGGTATCTATTGCTATTACTCTTCAGAATTTACGTGGTGATAAATAAAAAACTCTGGCACATGTTGTGTTTAAACATGATGGGAAACAGTAAGAAAGGATTAATCCCTTGTTGCAGGACCTTAACATTGTCTGTCTTCCTTCACTTAATGTCAGCAATAGGGATGGGCAGCACCCTGTCCTGGAGAATCTAGTTACTAAGCTAGAGCACATTGCACTTACCGCTATTGTCCCACAGTCACACTCTTCTCCATCTTCCACAAAGCCATTGCCACATTCTGGAGGATCCAAAAGCTGAAGGGCAAAATCAGAAATCAAAGAGCAGGCCTCTCCTAAAGGAGTCACTGTCATATTTATTCTGTGCAACATGTCTTTTTAGCTAGCACTCCAAACACATTAACCAATATAAAAGTATATCACAGCTCAGGAAGAAGCAGACTAGAAGCAATGCAAACAAAAGGAACAATGAAGGAACCGTGTTCTGAATTAATTCAGCAATTCTGTAGAGTCACAGGTGTCATCAAGGTAAGACTGCCATTTTTACAGCACTTTCAGTTTGAGCAGAAGCCACAATAAAAACCAAAAGGTATGACAATAAAAGAACAAATTTGGAACAATATGATATTTTCATTATCATCATAGATGATAAAATGCCTTTTGTTGTGGAATTCAAGTGATGAGGGCTGTCCCCCAAGCTGATGTCTCTGTAATACCTTCAGAAGGAATAGCCATACTGTCCTTTGGGAGCATGAGGCTCAGAAATGCAGGGAGAGGCTGAGTTTGTCAGTTTTTCTTGCAGTTATGTGCTTTTTCCTGCCCTTTTTTTCTACCACAGTCGGGAACTTTCAGCAGTTTTCCCTAAGCATGTGTCACAGGCAGATGAGAAAGTATAGCTGGTGAGGTTTCCTCTCCTTCAGCTTCCCCACTGAACTGTAACTTAAAATATCCAAATCTATATTATTCATATTTGTACTCTGCTTTCCCAGAGGCCAGATGAATTCACCATTTTTCACACAGGACCCATGCTATGCTATCTTTTAATGGACACCTTTGCTCTGTTTTTTCCAATTTCATCGTTTCAGTTTTCCTAACATTTCCAGATGTAATTTTTAAAAAACATTTTTTTTTCTTTGGGCATAATGAAACATAAGAGCACTCTTGTTACATAAACAAGAAGGCATGTAAGTGTATAACCAAGACTAGAATTTTGCAAATTGTCCTCCAAGTTATCCAATTAAACTAAGATCATCACAGAAACCACTCTGCTTACAAGACATCTGCACATTGCTCATGGAGTACAGTGCATTTTTCTCTGGCTGCTGCCTTTCTGCCAGAAAACCACAGGATGGAGCATCATGCTGCTTACTTCTCTGTGCCACAAACGAGCCTGAGGCTGATGTGCTATTATTAGATCCTCCTATTCAGAAGGAAATTTAACTGCAGCATGAAATGCATATGCAGATCATTACATTAAATGTAAGCAAGCAACGATCTTGCAGAATTATTGAAGAGTTGTTAATTGTTTCTTTACTTTATGTTCTCCCAGACATCCAGACTTCCTCAGTATCCCTAGGTGTGCTGCACAATACAGACAACTAGGCAGCAGTAACAGAGGGTCCTGCCTTAAAACACTGGGCCAATTTGCTGCAGTACAATAGGAACAGCTAAACATGTAATGGAAGAAAAAAATAAACATAAAAAGCAAATTGGGTCATTTTTCCCCAAAAGTAATATAATCCATCCATTCATTTGAAAAGAGCATATGCCCAATCTGCACTACAAGTCACTGATGTAATTTTCAGGATCACTTCTCATCTCACACCGGGGCACTGTCAAACACTGCATGTAATCACATCAGCTTTCCTTTATCTCATATTCCTTGAAAAGCAAAAGTAAGTTTGTATTTCATCACCTTTGCTAGGAAGCATATGCCTTCGACAGACTTGTGAATTAGACAGACATCCATTGACAATAAATCAAAACCAACCCAAACAACAGCACATAAAAGAGTCCAAATCACTCTGGCTTCCACATCCAACTTTCAGATTTCCACGTGTCATTAGAAAAAACTGTAAATGTTGCCAACTAAAACTGAGATTGAGCATAGTTGTTTTCTTCCAAGTGACAGATGTATAAATGAACATAATCACTAAAACCAGACCAAATAAGACACATTACACTACGGAAACAATTCACTCAGCAAGTGAGACAGGTAAAAGCAAACTTCTAAAATGCAGGTGCATTTTAAAGAACAAGAAATCCTACATCTTATTCATGAACTACAGTGCTTTCTCTCCACTTTTAGTAACATATTCTTACATGAAAAGAAGACCTCTGAGAGATAAGCAGACTCAGCTTACCCAGATTTGATGACTTATCTTCCCTTCTCTAACATTTATTGAAATTCTGTGGTTGTCAGAACATGCACCTTTTCTCAGCCACTCCAGGAGGAACGTGCATCACTCCAGAACTGACTTTCTCTTTTACATCTGTGACCACATCAGCTACCAAGACTTTTTTCAAAATTGGACTGTCTTTCTGCCTTAACCTCTTCCCCTTGTTTGTTGAAAGAAAGCCATTTAATAGACAATTAATTATATATAGAAAAGAGCCATGATTGTTATTGTGATTACATTCTTAACGTGGATCAGCAAAAGGCACAGGAACGTACTGAAACCCTGCTGCAAATCCTGCATTGTAGAAGTGTTTGCATCTTGGCTGAAGTTTTGTTAGCCTTGTTTTGTATTTCTGTCCCTTAAATGTAGTGGTTAATAATTTAATACTCTTTACATCAATATACCTATTTAGCAAGCCAAAATTGAGACATTAGAAGCAAAGAAAAGGCCAACACTACCTTAAGAGATAATCCCCATTTCTCCTGATTTCCAAGACACAGGCAGCAAGACCTCTGATTTCGTACTTTAGAGGCAAATTTGGAGGGGATGGGTCAGTCATTAAAGTGGGTTTCCCTCCCCCAAGCCTTTAGGTAAGCAATGCAACCTGCTAAATGAAGCAAGGTACAGTGGCACTGAGGATGGGGATCCAACAGGGATTCACCAGCCTTCCCCATCTGGGGGACTACCCAACACAAGCCATGGTTGTGCAGAGCCACATAACACTGGCCTGGAAGGAGCTAACCCCGGCACTAAGGTGATTGGAGCACTTCTCACCAGACACATTTCTCCCCCAACACATGTGCTTCAGAGGACGACAGACCCTGGGGACATTGATGGGGAACATGTGGGCAGCACCTGGGGAATGAGGAGTGTGATGGGCACCCAGAAGCCACCAGCTCTCCTAGTGTCTCTGACCTACTCCTCAGGGCTTTCTTTCCTGCTCTGCCTCCTCCAGTTTCAGAAAAAACAGTCACAGTTTTCAAACTCTGTTCTGAGAGCCACTGTCAAAATTTTGCCTCTCTGAACAGGGAGAATATCACAACTACTTGTAACCACTGGTGACTGCAAAGCCACTGGGCTGCACAGTGGTGCTCTAGGAGCTGTGTCTTCATCTTGGGACAGATGTGAAACAAAAGCAATCTTATTTCAGCTTCCAGGGATTTGTACCAAAAGACATTGGTTCACTGTAAATTAGAATTCAAGCTGTGAAAAAGTTTACAATGACATCTGAAAACTCAGCAAATTAATTCACCAACATACTGTATTTACAATATTCAGAACAAATTGTGTGAGGGATGGTTATGGATCAAAGCCTGTGAGAACTCTGTTGTACACGAAATCAGTTACTAAAAATGTATTTAAGTATAATTTCCAACCTATGAACTAAAATCAGATACTTTCACTCATATGTCACCAGAAAAATTGGAAACTGGAATTAGAAATATAAAAATTACAGGGTTTTTTTCCCCCAACATTAGAACTTTCATTCTTCTTTCTTTCATCTAAGTTAGAAATAAATAGAAAAAATTCTCAATAATTAGATAACACTTACTTTGGTTGGTTTATTGAAAAGGCAGGCTCCCCCTCCATTGTTTAAAAATTCATGATACTCTTCAATATCACATTTGGAGAACTTGCTTGGAAGGTAATACCTGCACAGGAAAAAGGTGGCAGGATTATTTTCTATAGTACTTTTATTTTCTTTTTTTCAAAATAGGAGGAGAAATATGTTATACTTCAGAAAAAACACAAAGCCTCACAAATATCACAAATAAGATGACACAGCATGTAGTTCTCACATGCATGACATGTTCCACTAACGGGCCTGATCTCAGAAACACATTAATTTCTTCCTGTACATACCACAGGAGACAAAGATGGAGACATAGTTCATTTCCCCCTCAGATAAAATTGCTCTTCTGCCCCACAGTATTTTTATATAACAGAGTTATGTCATTTTAAAACATGCTTCTAACAAACATCAGTAAACATTTTGGCTTCCCTCTTTCATGTGCCCCACTGAATAAATTTTATTCCAGAACAGAGTGCCAAACTAAGGCACAGTGCACCACCCAAAACCAATTTGATGCAGAGAATCTTTGCATGGACCCTTTCCACAGGGAAAGAATTTCTCCCAAAGTAACTTAAGTGATATTTATATTTAGGTCCTTAGTCATGAAAGTACTAATGCTTCAAGTAGATTTTACAGTCTTATGGATTTTCCTGAAGCAGCTCATAACTGGATAAAAAAATAGTAGCAGAAGTGCTAAACAAAATAATCCTGCATTGCCAGGAGTGATGGCTTGTCACAACATAAACTGGTCATTTCCATTTCTATGGCTTACGATTTAGGTCTAAAGACTACAGAGAATGTGGGATTCACCATTCTTCACCAAAAAGGTAGGCAAATACAAGCTTTTTTTGTATACCTAATCATTTGAAAGGTTTGGATTTCAGATAAATAATTTAAAGACCATTAGCTGAGGAATCACTTTTACAAGAATCAATAATGCTTCTTAGATTGGCTTTTAAATATACAAAAACTGAAAAAAAATAAATCCTACCTAGTATGTTTTTAGGTAGATAAGGTGAAAAAGCCATATATTCTCACTTCCAAAGAGCTTTCCATGAAATATGCTTCTTTTCTCTATATTGTTCTGACCACAAAGCAATTGTGAAAATTTGCAAGCCAATTTGAAATTACTTTTAAAAGCACTGTCTAAATCTTAACAGGAGACTAATTCATATACATGACAAAAGACACGTCTGTAATATGAAGAATTAAGGTCTGAATACACATTACAAAGCATCACATTTCATCTAGCAGCAGAAATTTGCTGATTCACCAATTTTTAGATAAAATCTTTCCAGTAACATTATATATGGATATAAGCATACTCAACCTCTATCCAATGAGAGTAGTTTTTCTAACATTACTACATAAACTGGAGGATAAAAGGTGACAGATATAGATGAAAAGTTCCAACAGAAGAACTGAAAACATTACATACTTAACCCATTTGATTTCAAGAATTAGGATGCATCATTGTCTGCTCCCACAGCTGAACAGCAAACACACAGGAGAAAAGAAGCTAAGCATGGTTCTGCGTCTATGGCATGACCCAGCCTGGATGTTGAGCCCTGTACTTGGAGTTAAACCAGCAGTCACTAAAAATTCTCACATCCTCTCACTAACTCACTTATTCACACACTTCTTTCAAAGTGTCTTTTCTATATATGTTGCACAGTTAATATCCTACTTTCTGAAAAATTATTCAAAGAAAATATTTTCTTGAACCCTGAAAGGCAAACATGTTCACACCTTTATGTCATTGCATGGACATGACTTCCACTGAAAGTGCCTTACCCTGTGTCTCCCATTATGCATCCAGACCACGTGTCCTCACACTTACACTCACCTGACAACAACAACAAAAAATTCACATCTTGAGTCCAAAATAAAACATTTCTTATAATAAAAAACACATTGGAGTTAATTAATTCAATTTCATATTTAAATACAAATTGAAAAGAATAATTTACTGGTTTATTGCACATCTTTGTTTAAGTGTATCAATGCACACTGACAAACCTTCTTTCAAAAATTATACACAACTCTATGCAATCTCTTGAGTTTTGAAAATACATCTTGTTTTATTTCTTTCTCTTAGAGGGAAGTTAGGGAAAACTACAGTGTCAGCCTCCAGCACTTGCAAATCATGAGACAGCTCCCATGCCTTCTCCCCCATATGAAGATATTTAACTCCCAAATTTTCAGAGTGAAAAAAGGTCATTTTAACACTTCTTCTAACTCTTAAATTCTCTTCTATTACTATGCCAATATGACTGGGGATAACTTTGCTTGAAAAAAATCCCCAACAAACATCCAGCAATTATGCAAAAGAAAAATACATATAATGCTGTGAAAACAAGCCAGTACAGCAGGATCTAGGAGCTTCTTCCTCTGCTGTCCTTTCCTTCTTTGCCTGCCTTCCTTCCCCACACAACTGCCCAGCAGGCAGAGGGCAGCCTTCCTTTCAGCCCTGCCAGGCTGCCTGGGATTGCTTTGTTCTGGTCTCAGCCCTCCACTTTCAAAAATGTGTCATGTGTCTATTTCTGTACATATGCTCTGCCCGCATACTTTCATCTTTTTCTTTCTGCATTTTCCTTACTGTAATACAGGAACATCTGTTTGTTGCTTTCATCTTAAAACTAGAATTAAAAAGGAAATGAGGCTCTGCACAACAGTTGCAAAGAAGTGCAATGAAGCTAGTGAAGGCTCAGGAGCACAAGTCTTATGAGGAGTGGCTCAGAGAACTGGGGATATTTAGTCTGGAAAAAATGAGGCTGAGAGGAGACCTACGGCTCTCTACAACTACCTGAAAGGAGGTTGCGGTGAGGGGGTCTCTTCTCCCAAATAACAAGAGGAAATCGCCTCTAGTTGTGCCAGGGCAGGTTTTGATTCAATGTTAGGAAAAATTTCTTCACTGAAAGGGTCGTCAGGCACTGGAAGAGGCTGCCCAGGAAAGTGTTGGAGTCACCATGACTGGAGGTATTTAAAAGACACGTAGATGTGGTGCTCAGGGACATGGTTTTGTGGTGGGCTTGGTCATGCTAGGTTAATGTTGGAATTGATGTTCTTAAAGATCTTTTCCAAAGAAAATGATTCTGTGATTCTTCTCCTTCCTCACCAAAACCATGTCCTGCTCCTCTGCTCAGCCATAGGAAAGGGAATCACCACTATTACAATTTTCACTTATACATTGCCCGTGTCAGGTTAATAATACACAGCTAGAAAATTAATATTGAACATGTCAATAGCATAGAGTTACTGAGGACATCCAGTAGCCATCCAGTCTGTGGGTGTGACATCACTCTCCTTGAAATGAAAGGAAGCAGCAGACACCTTTATGATTTATTTTTAATGAAATGGTGACACCAGTGCTGCCAGCACTTATGGGCAGGCAGATATCACAGCACTTAAATAGAGGAAAATTAATGATATGTCAGTCTCTCAGTGTTGTTACCAAAAAAAAAAAAAAAAATAAATTAAAAAATCCAACATTTTGAGAAACGTGGGGAAAAAATACATATCAAAGAGACACTATTAAGATGCTCCATCTTTTAAGATTTTCTCATCAGACAAAGTGAAAAAGCAAACAAACTTACCACTTACAAGTTTTCTTCTGTCTGAGAAAATACCAATGTTTTGGGCCAAGGTCTGTGCCAGAGTAACTGCCATTAAGTCTGGCTTTCCAAACTGAAAGAAACAAGCAAGGTAGGAAGAGTAATCAGTTAGATACAGATATCTCAGATACAAGTGAAGCTTTTCTCATTTCAAGGCAATTAAAGGAAAAATCCCATGAACAGTGTCACAGTTCTTACTTCAGAGCAGCTAAATAACGGACAAGTAAGGAAAACTGGCTCGTTTATGGACAAGTTAAGGAAGAGGGAGTCTGTTTCATTCTTGCCATTCTGACTGGAAGCATGAATGACAGGATATTGCAGAATCTGCTGAAAAGTGTATTTGAATCCATATCTGACTTTATTCACTCCTCACACTTCACTGAGAAACCCCTTCTATAGAGCTGCAATAAAACTTTGCACCAGCAAAGAAGCAGCAAGATATTTCGAGGAACACGTCTGCACTGATAAATTCTGCGCAGATAAATTTCCGTTACTTTTTGTTCATACCAGTATCCCCACCTACCTCATTCACACCTCCGCCTTTAAGCAGGGAGCAGATTCCACCAGTGTGGGCTACACCACTCCGACTGCTCTGAAATCGACTCCCCCTTTGACGAGAAGGAAAAGAAAAAAAAGTTTACCCTGCTCAGCCCATGAGTTTTGCACCTATCATCCCAGTATTTACTGAACTTCTGATTTTCAAGTGAGAAACTGGCACTTGCAATTGCTGCCTGCCACCACTACGCTGCAAACTAAGAAACACAAAATGGAAAAAAGCAGATAACCACTCACAAACTAACCTCTCATAGACTATCTAATACAAGAAAGCATAAAGGCACTATTTTGCCAAACCACCAGAGTCGTACCAGTCTTTTGTTCATTGACACACTACTGCAGCAAGTGGCTTCTGCTGGCACGTGCAGCAGATGGAGCGTAGGAGAGGCCACCACGCTGCCATTGCATGGGTGACCAGTACAAAGCATGTACCTGACTGGGCAATGCTGATGCAGCAAGACTCAAAGGGAGAAGCATCAGTGGCTCCCTGATGCAGAGGTAGGTGAAAACTCCCTGGAACTGCAGTCAGTCTCATCCAAAGGACAGACGCACTCTGAGCCTAAATCTAACCATTCCTTTGGTGCTGACCACACCAGCGTGAATGACTGCTGGTTGCTGCAGACAAATATACTCTGCTTCACTTCAGAGTACTGACCCACCCAAGCTGCAGCAAATTATTTGTTTCAAAGGAAAACAGATAAATGCCAAGAAGCAATATATTGGGCTAACTGCTGAAGGCAGAAGTTCATTTGCAATCAGTGTACCATGACACCAGCCAACCTCACCTCCCAACTTAGCCACGTCTCGCTCAGAGATTCAATTTCAGAAACTGCTATTTCTAAATGGTCTGTGAATGAAATACCTCAAACATGACTGACAGTGTTATGGACAACACTGGAATTAGCATTACAATGGTAGCTATACTCCCAGCCACGGGCCCTCCTTGTCCTATCCCATCCACAAGCACTGATAAGAACTAGACTTCCCCCCCCAGACCTTACAATATAACCAGAAAAGATAGATGAAGGATGTGAGTAAACCTGATTCCCATTTTACAGCTGAAGAATTGAGACACGAGAAACCAAAATCTGCAAGCACCACTTAACAACACTTACTAGCTCTCTTCATGGCAGAAGTCAATGACATTAATTAAGCACATGCAAAATTTCTGAGAGGGTGTACACTGGGCTTGGGTACTCTGGCACCCTTCTGGAGTCATATGAAAGTGAGGTGTTAGGTTTATTCACATCAGTTCCTACAAAAGTCAGCAGAAAGGGATAAGTACTCCAGCAGAGCAATTCAGCTGGCCTGTCTCATGTGGATGAAAAATCCCAGCCATGAACCTTTACTCTATTTGTGTAGATATATTTTGTCAACCATTAAGAGATTTATAGAAAGTAACACTCCTATCTTATTCTTATAGCCCATTTCTCTGGAGAACGTACTGTTCTGAGGATCTGAACCACTTCAGTAATCCTGCAGCATGCAGGTCAGTAAACAAAGTGTAGCAGGCCATACTGGTTTTTAAGCAGGACTCCTCATGGGTTTCAAAGCCAATGTTCTGCTTTTAAGTAATACAACAGGACTGTCCATGCTCTACTGCTGAAGAAGCCAACCTCTAACATGGAACTTTGCATCATTTTCCAGGCAGCTGTGCTTGCAGAGTAGGCAATTGCACAGAATAAGCAAGAATATATGCGCATGCAGCTCATTTTTATTACATTAAAATTAAAATGAGACTCAGACCTCTAGTTGCACTGGCAGGCAGTTTGTGTATTAACTTTTTCCCACCTTCCCATCAGAAACATTATTTTCTGAATTACTGTGGTTTACATACATGAAAGAAAGGAGATGCATCAGCCACTTGAGATAAGTAACCCCCAAGGAAAGAAGAAACCCGATAATAAAACATCACACAAGGTTACGTACGAAAAAAGGTGAACTGCGTCACTTTTCTCTCTGATAAAATCCCTCCTATATTTCATAAACTCACGTAGGGTCACCAAGGGGTTTTCAGATATGGCAAACTTGTTATCAGTAGCCCAGGTTTCCATGGCAACCAATACTATCCTGGTGTTAAGTTGTTCTTTATATATCTAGTACATTAACAGAATGAACAAATATATTATGACAAACAGAATTAAGGTGAGTTTTATCCTTTTTTGTGTAATAGCTTGCATTTTTACATAACTATTTGGCTTGTTCTTGCACACTAGGTTCTCCAGGTGATTTTATCACCCTTAAAACCAACCAAGAAACATGAAAACAAAGTAAAATCTACATGTTAGGCCTAATTCCTCAATCACTCTCTCTGTTTGCAAAAAAGATCCATTGCAGGTCCTACACAGGCAGAGGTGCATAGAAGGGAGATGGGATTTTTGAAAAATTACTATTGAAAATAGTTCACAGATTTGGAATCAGTGGGTCTTTCCTAACATCCAGCTCACCCCAGGGAAACACAGGGGTTCTTACACAAACAGTGACCTATAAAAACACAGTTTTTACTGTTATACACCTCTATAGGAGTATTTAACCTCACGCTGGCTGAATCATGTAAAAAGGCCATCCTTATAATGCTCCACATTTTAATAATCCACACCAAATACTTTTTAATTAAAGAGTGGGAATCAAAGCTTTCTTTTTCTAGTAATGCTTTTCTGGGGTGAGGTGCAAAAGCCAGCAGCTCATCTGATTCAGCATCACAAATATAAACCACATAACACACCTCTATATCCCCATTCTAACTTGCTTATTCAAATGCACTTTTTCTGGAGAAATTTTAGTGCATTACAATTTCAGATTTTGTTGGCTTTCAGGTTGTCAACATAGGGTTCCTGTATTAAAAACTGTCATATCTAAGGCGCTTTTTAAAACTCAGACTCAAGGGACTGATCCGGAAGGCTATTTTAAAAGCCAAAAAAACCCTTTAATGTTTTAAGTTAGACAACGGATTTATAGGTAGCTGATTGTGGTTCTGGATGAAAATTTGTGATCTTCACCTCTCTGATTTGTAGGTATACCATGAACTGACAGCTCCTGCATCTACCAGCAGGAGAATCCTGAGACCCATCTCACAGGTACAAGAACATTGAGTTGAGTGACACTTACCAGATCTGCCATGTTCACAACAGATTTAGCATAACTGTTTGTATGACCGACTGACAAGCGGTGCTTTTTACACTGCAAAACAAAACACAAGGAGTTCTGTGTTTGAGGGTTTTGTATCCACAAAAACATTTACAGAGTTCAAAACACATACAGAGTTCAGAAAAATAAGCTCCATTTCCAAACAAACACAAAGTAAAAAGCAACTACATCACCATTAAAACCCCTGTGCAAGGTTTTGTCTTCTGTGCTGAATGTAAAGTTAATTAGCTATAGTAGAAAATTGCTCATTACTGATACACTTTGTAACAGCTGTTGTGAGGATCTATTCATTCCTGTTTGGAAAGCAGTCTAAGATCTTTACTGAAAAGTGCTATAGGAACAGGAACATATTGTTACTCACTTCATAATCTTTATTATGGACAATTCTAAAGTTAATTCCAAATGCCAACACAGAAATTAGTAACTCAGCTTCCATAGCTGAGACTCCTTTAGAGATGTCAACCCAAGAGTGCCTTCATCTGTGTTTCATTCTATCAGACTTCCTATTTTTTCTTTCAATTCTCTCTTTCAAGTGGCCTTCTGAATTTCTTCATGTACTATTTCACATTTTCCTAATGCTACAGTAACTGGTTCAAATCACTTCAGCAATCAGACTACAATGGCACCTTTTCTGAAATTAGTAATGCTGTGCTATAAAGATGACAATGAAGAGAGCAGTCCAGGTACTATTTGCAGGAAAAAACACTTAATAGTGGGCATATGGGTATGAACACAATAATGATCATAATGGGTATGAAAGTCACAAGCATCTTAGAAGAACTTAGGACAAAAGGGGCAAGATTTTCAGAAAAGTTTAACTATTTTGTGCCCTATAACACTTGATTTTGGAGGGAAAATTGTCCATATTTTCTGGAAATTAAGATCTTTTAGAGCGCAGAAAGTGCCCAGCAGGTACGGGATGGGAAAGGCATCCTTGCAAGCAGAAATGAAGGAAAAAAACATAAAAAAATAGGAAATTACTATTACTAAAAATCCAGAAGGACAAGACTGTGAAGTTAAAAATAGCAGAAAGGATGAAATAAAAAAAGCTACAAAATAAATTGAAAATTAAGCACAGGGACGAACTGAAACAAGTATACTACTCAATTCTCTATTTGCAACTAAAACCTCAAACTTCAGGATGCTTAGAGACGATGGAGAAAATTTTTTCAGTGTACTAATTTATAAGCCTATTTCAATACTTAGGTAGTAAAAGTTTTATTTCTCAACTGGAAGCAATGGTTGGACAAGCAGCTGAAAGGGCAGTGAGTGGCACATACCTTGTATGCTCTTATGTCTGATTTTGCCAATTTGAGAGAAGCTGTACATTACAAAAAAGGCAGATAAAGTGTATAGACACATTTTGATTTTGAAGTAATAAAGGACCATAACATCAACTAATGTCACCAGTCATAGTGGCACCACAGGTCTCTGAACTCTACCCAGTTACTTCAAGATTGAATCTTATAATCTGCATTTGGCACCACCACATCTTTCAGAAACACACTGTCTGGATTTGAAGACTGCGAGTGACAGAGAATTCACCATTTCTTTTGATATTCCTTTCAATAACTCTTAATCATCATCACTGACACAAATCTGTGTCTTTTACCACTTGAATGAGCCTGTTTTTTTGTTAATACACTACACATTATAACATTGCTTTCCACTACATTAAAAAGCTGATTTATATTATCCCAGAGAAGGTACACAAGCTTAGCAAAATCATTTTTTCTATGCTGATCTGGACAAAAAAAAAAATAATCTAGTCAGCTTAAGTCACACTGGTGTTAGTTGCTTTATAACACAAACCTTTAATTTATGTCCCTTCTTCTGATACTCAGGCCTGGCTGCATTCCTGGTGAAATTACCTTGCCAAAATTCAGAAGCAACTTCATCAATGGTTAACAAGACTGTAATCTCTTCTCTTAAGGGCATACTGAAATTATCTGGCCATATGTTTTTCTTTATTGCTATCCTTTATAAGCCAATAAGACAATTTTATGTGAATTACAATTTTAAGATGGTGAAGTGTCTCAGCCTTACCATTAGATGATCATTTACAATCATCAATTCAATGTACTTTGTTTCCTCTTCAACACTATGTGGAATCTGACGAACCTACAAATAGAGTACAGCTGTAAGAGGGTCTAACAGAGCATAGAGAGAGTATAACTGGTAACTAAAAGAGGCCTTCAGAAACCAAACTTCTCACACATACATTTTTTCTGTTGTCTTAATTCTGGTATCAGATATTGATGAAACTTCTGGTGATCAGCTGCATAATTTTAAAAATTCTTTCACCCCCACCAGGACATTCATATGGCCTTAAACAATGAAATCACATCTTTCAACTCATTAAATTCCAGGTTTAAGATTTTTTAAAGAAAGAGAATCATGGTGGGGCCTATATCTCTAAAAATGGCTTTTTCTATTTTGCCACAGAGAAAGGGGTCTCCTGCATTTGTCATGCATAATCTCCAACAAATCTATTATTTATGCACACGCTGCTCGAATTACACAGTGAACACAGTACCCACCTCTGTTTTATGCTTACTGTGCATTTAGAAACATTTACAACTGCACTTCTTCATGGGATCCTTGTTTTCCTGGGTTTTCCAGGATAGTTAATACATCACTATGATTTAAAAATGCACAGTAATGGCTAGTTTAAAGAAAGGTAACAAACCACCTGACAAGACCCTTAAGAATGGCTTCTGGGATTTCTGCAATGTCTTTTTCTCACTTCTCTTTTGCCTCCGGAAGGCTTGCAGTAGTTAGACATGTTATAGTCATCTTTCCCTCCCACTGCTCTCAGCAGTTCCTTTTTGTCTGCACTGCTCAGTCTTGCAGACCTGGCTTTCTTTTGACTTGTACCATCATTTGAGCCCCATTCCTATAATCCAACGAATCATTGCTGTCTTTCCAGGGTACAAACATCAGCACTAAGTGGCTCCCCACTTTAATAAACAGGGAATGAACTCTCAGATTAAAATACTTATTTTAAATCAAAGTCAAGTGAGATAAAGCAGCTACTTGTAATCATTGAAGTATAAAAATATTTGTAAAGTGGGAGTTTCTGATAAAACGCTATACTTAAAATGAAAGAAAATATTTTAGCTACTTTTTCATTTCCAGTTTCGCACTCTTCAGGCAGACATCGTCCAAGAAAACCCAACAATGTTTTATCAACATTAGATACCACTTATATTAACAGCTCTATTGATATTGAGACCTCATGCCAAACCAGCAGCAGTAGCAAGGGTCCATCTGGACAAATTAATCCAGCAGACACAAAACAAAATTGATGGCATATGACTTATAAGCAAGCACATTGGCACATACCTGCCTTTTACGTCTTTTGTGTCTTGGCTTTACAACAAACTTTGATGACGTAGTATTCATTTGCCAGAACTCTAAGCAGAAAACATAGGCAAATACATTGAATGTTTACAAGATTACAGCTCAACAATCAGTGACCCTGATGCTGTGTGACAGTAGTAAGGCAATCTCCCACACAGCAGATGAGATTACAACTCCTTTTTTCATGTTTTCAGCTAGAAAGGAGCCAATGTTACAGATGTTGCCCAGTTACAGGGTTCTTATTAAAGACTCTACTAGTAAAATCTGAGTCTGCTGAAACAGATAATCTGTGGGTGTCACGCTTCAGAAAGCACAGCAGATGTTCTACACCAAAACTTCACCAGCACTGGGCATGTAATATTATTAACACAGTGCTTCCATGGAGCAAATCACATCTTCGGGAATTCAGCAGACATTCACAGAGCTCTTGCAATAGCTACCTAAATTAATAAGAAGAGCACGGAAGGCAGAATTAATACTTTAAGACGATTATATTCACAAAGTAAAATATGTTAGAGTGGGAGAAACACAGAGCTCTTGCAATAGCTACCTAAATTAATAAGAAGAGCACGGAAGGCAGAATTAATACTTTAAGACGATTATATTCACAAAGTAAAATATGTTAGAGTTGGGAGAAACCTTGTAAGACTTTGGCAATATTTGCTATCAATACAATATTCCTCCCTGCTAATCCCACTGTCTCTTTCTTAAACCATTAATTATAAGCACCAAATAGTTTATTCTTTTGCCAAATTTCTTTCATCAAATCTACTTCTAGCCACTCACAGAAAGGAACACATTTTAAACTAAACAGAAGACCATAGTTGCTCTCACCCTCCTAAATATCCAAGAAGTATTTTCTACCTTTAATTTTAGACTCATAGGCCCTGCCTCACTTTCCCCTATACAACAGAAATATATTTTCTTAACTTGCATAAAAATGTTTACTATTCACATAACCCAAATAAGCCTTTTCTTTGAGACATATAAATTAATTTTTTTGCAGCTGCTTATTTTGTAATATGTCTTTTTCCCTTGACTACTTTGCCTCCTCTATGTTTTCTGCAACTTTGGACATCTTTTCAGTCTCCAGGAAGTGAAAACTGCATTCAGTAATCCAGAGAATTAGACAGTACTATAGAAGCTTTGTAAACCAAAGGACTTTCTTTTCACATACCTCTGTACACAAGTTTTGGTTGTGTTACAAAATCCTAAACAGTTCAGTTTCACTAGTGAGACACGAAAGTTTCTCACAACTCCATCTCCCACCTGCTGTATATTAACTGTCCAATTTCTGCACAAGGTTCAAACAATAGGATTAAAAACAATTATGACAGGAATTTGATAAGGCTGCTATACCAGCAGAACCTTAAAACACAAAGCTGACAAAAAAATACTAGGTGTAACTGCTAATATTAACCAGGACTGGCTAGCTACTGATAAAAGAAATAAGGAAAGCAAAGTATGACTAACTGGTATTGTCTTGGCGAAATCTTGGAGATTATACTGCCATTTTGTTATGACAAGTTTGCAGAAACCTTTTCATGGAGGGGACTGGACATTCATAGGCTCTTTGCTTAAAAATGTTTTCATGGTTACATTAGTGCACTTCAGGATTTTCTTCACAAAAAGGACCTAACAGAAATTAAATCACATCCAAAGGTTCCTATTTTTGCTTGAAGACTGTAGTCTCTAGAGCTCATAATGATGAGAAACTAAATCTTGACCTTTTTTTACAAACTTTTTTTAAATTATGCTTTGCATATGTTGATTAATTTAATCTGTGTTCTAGTGCCACACAACTGGCTCTCGACCTGTCATTTTAAGTTTTACATTATCGTTAACTGAACTGGCAAAAATACAACATTTCCACCAATAAAATAATAATTTACAATATGTGTGCAAGGTCTCAGATAACTTCACAAGGAAATGTGATCATTTTACCTCCCCACTGGCAGTCTGCCAGCTCTAGAGGGGACTGATGGAGCCATTAATGTTAACACATTAACACACATTAACGCTGCAACATAACTCACAAGCCGGATGAATTCACATAGGTGCATTTTCAGCCAGGGACTCCCTGGCAAAACAACATGACCAGTAAAATCACATGAAATGTAGATTACTGAAAAAGCCTCAGGAAAATTTTGATGTGACCACATTACCTTGAAAAAGTGTAGAGAGGATTCAAAGTGGCCTCAAAAGAAAAGGACATCTGTCATGCAGTATTTGAAAAAGAACACCTTCAATAATCTAGTGCTGTCTAAGACCACACCAGGGCACTTTATGTCTCAGTACAGATTGTGAGAAAAAATACAGTTTACTAAATCATGAAGTCAAATGTTCCAAGCATGACAAGTCATCCATCCAAGCTTTCCTTATTTAAAGTCCTCATTACTTCATCAGACCATTGCAAAGTGCAGTGCTATTCTTTCCTGCAATAGCCTTCTTTTTTTCTTCTTTTTTTTTAATACCCAAGGAGCAAAAAAATGTAAAAAGTACATTGCTATCGAGCTGTGGTATAACAGTGTATGTTTTTACTATCACTGATATCAAGTAATCTCTATTGTTCGATTTTTTTTTTTCCTTTCTGACATCAATATTGAAGCTGATTATACATCCTGTCCATTCCCAACACAGTGCTGAGTGCAAATCTTAGCTTATACACAGACTCTTTTAAAGATTAGACAAAAATCTTGACATCAAAGACTTCCTTAGGCTGGGCAAATTAATAAATTCTGAGAGTAGTAAGGAATATAAGAAATACTGATGACATAACCTAGCAGAGTGCTTGCTACTATTAATAATGATTCTGCTGTAGTACTTAAAAAAAAAAAAAAATCAATCACAACTATGCTATCAGCAATTAACTGCAAATACTGTTTACAGAAAACAAAAAAAGAGAAGTCAAGACAACAGTCAGCACTTTCCAGACTGGCAGGGAAGAGGCACTGTAGAGCAGGGACACTGGCGGGACAGCATGTGTGAGAAACATAGGAGAACGTGGGGCAGACAATTCAAAGACAAAAATTTCACAATTAAGAAAGCTTCTAAGACAGTTAATAGGTATCTACTAAGTATCAGCTCTAATAGTCTCCTATTTTAACAACCTGACACTGAAAATTAATTTTTAACTCAGCAGTGGTTGCATTATTTCCAAACTTTCAAATTACACATCCACAAGAAAGTGTGATAAAAGATGCGTTTTATTATTTGGCCTTATATTCAATAAATTGTTCTCATTACACTACCATCTCCACAAGTATAGGGAGTAAACATGTTACGTGTCTAAGGTGCATGTACATGCCTCATGATACAGATGCCAATGTCCTGCCCTGCCTTTTGTGCTGCCCCTCTACCCCAATGCATCCTTCACTTTGCCTGGGCAATCATCAGTGCAGGATGTGAGGCACCAAGTTGGGATACTGTTTTGTGTAGACTCAGAAAGATTACTTCATCAGAACTGAAATCAAGGTTACCCAGTTGTAGCAATTTCCCTGTTTTTTTTCTCATTAGCTCTCTGAACAATTCTACATGGCTAAACAACTAGCAAATCTGCACACACTGTGCTCCAGGGAAGGATCTACGTGCACTGTCCAGCACCTTAAGATCCCAGATCCAATTGTTACCATAGGACAAACAGTTTGCAACAAGATGACTGGATATCTGTAACTCTCCTGAAGAATTTAGTCAAGATGTGATTTCTGCCAAAATTATAGTGTCTGTGAAGGACAGTTTTATTTATCTAGGATATATTTTGTAGAGAAGGAAAATGCAAAACTGGCAAATCCTTGACAGAATGGGGATATGTCATAAATACTGCAATTTTTGCTTTAATTAACAAGCAAACTTCTCAGATGAAAACTCATTTTTTAAAAAAAACAACCTCTTCTCCCTCCACACACTATATAAACTATTCACAGGGATTCATCACTACAAGCATTTGAAACCACTTAGCCTCCAAATCCATTTGTACTGAAATGCATGACCTGCTCTACAACCAGCACTGTGAAAAAGGCTGAACAGACTGGAGATGAGATTCAGGGAACAGCAAAGATTTTTGGCAAGCTCTTGCCTCCCAGACTTATGCTCACACCATAGTACTTTGGATCTCAAAACAGAAAAGATCCATGAGGAGTTACTAAGCACTGGCAATATGGGGTTTATTTTCATCATCTTTAGGCTACCTCAGTACTTTCCTTTCTACAACTACTAGCACACCATGCAGACCACAGACCACATGACATATCTAGAGAAACAGATGACAACATGAAGGTCTAGGAGAGGTCTGGTCATTTGACTCAGGGTGTTTTCAGCACTTCAGGTTATTTTCCAGTGCTTTCAGTGTTTCAGATTCTTTTTTTTTCCAGTGTTTTTTTATTTAATCAGAAAAAGAATGAATAAACAACATAGTATCAGAAGATTATCAAATGTGATTAACAAATTCAGCCTTATACTAAAGCAAGTCAATAAATCTTGAACATTAAAAAATCATACCAGGTGACAGGTCATCCGAAGGAAACTCAAACAACTTGGATTTGTAAACAGAGTGGAAATGGAAGTCATCCTGAAATAGTAAATAACTACATGTATTAAACCTGGATACACTAATCAATTTCACCAGCATTAAATAGTTTCAAAGGTCTTTGTTATCCAACACCTACAGAAGTGAACATGCAAGTTGCAAGGCACCATTACTCTACAATTTTCTCCTTTTCCCTCCTGTGATGTGATTGCTAATGCCACACTTAATATCCAAGTACATCAAATGGAGTGGCTGAGCACACTTAGAGCTAGGTTTAAGAAAGCTGCTCAAGAAACGTAAGATAGCATCATGGCAGCTGCTGAAGGGAGTTGAAGACAAACCAGGACAGGGGTGTAACAAATCCAGAGTGGAAAGTGCCAGAGAGGAGGACAGGGTACTCACAGGCTTCTGCTGGCTCCATGAGACCTTCATCACCCTCTGGTGCTGCACTGCTCTGCATCCAAGTGTTACAGACTACACACATACCAGCATACCACTGACTCATTTTTTGAGATCTACTTTTGTCTGTGGTGATGGGGACTCACAGATGAGGTAAGTGAGTTGGGAATGATGGGAGAACCTTGGCCGTAGAGCCTTACACACTCTGTAACAATGAATGTCTGTATTCAACAAACAACACAGCAGAAGAACTGTAAGTTCTACTTACATCTGAAGTGTAGTTTTCATCTGGCTCAATCAGGTAAGTATGATTTCCATCATAGAACATCCCACTGCACAAAATGTAAATAATGATTTAATGAGCAAACACTAGTGCAACATGGAAGTAAGTTTAAGAAGTTAATATATTTTAATCATTTAGATGTTTAGAAAAGGAGGCAGTTAAAAATTGTTTCAGGAACTGAACATAATTCTTAGAGAATCTTGTTTCTTTGCTTCAGAAAGAAAGATACTCTCTCCTATGGTGATACAGACTCATCTTTCTTCCCCAAAGCTTCTCTACAACACATAAAAACACCACAAACATCAGCTAATTTAGCCAAGTGAATATCCAGTTTAGAGCCCTTGCTCCCATCCAAGAGAGATCTACCTGCAACAGATAAATAAGAGACCTGTCTTTAGGAACAAGCTAATTTGGAACATGAAAACAGCTTTCCCCATAATAAAATTATTACTTAATTGATAGCTGATCCTTAGGTTTTATTGGTTTTATTAACTCTTTCCTCAGCAATTTCATACAGTACCAAGGCCATAATGGGTTGTTTTGGGCATTTCAGCAATATTAGTTATGACAGATGGTGCTTCTTTTTAAATTAAGATTCTATTCCTAGTAAACATCAATAGCTATATGTATTATCATATCAATATGGACATGACATGACATGGTGTTCCTTATAAGGAGATAGGAAACCTCATCTGACAGGCTTCCAATGTGTTATGGTGAAAATAGATACAAAGGACCAAACCTTCAGATATATCGATAGTTCTGGCAAAGCACTGATGTTCTCATCTTAATGGCATAAAATCTTCTAAACCACAGAAATCTGAAGGTCTTGCATGATAAGCATACTGCTATGTATCTCAGAACATGTGCCACCTTGCTTGCCCAGTCACAATCACCAATTTTCCATATTAAATTCCAACACACAGTTCAACTCTTAGGTAAAAAACACACCAAACTGTTAAAATTTCTAAACAGATGAATATAGTCTGTGACAGTAACACCACATGCTTTTGCATTACCACTTGAATGTAGAGTAAAGGTGAGGTCCATTCCTGCAAGGATTAAGAGTTGCCTTAAACTTACTTAGGTAAAGAGTGTACTGATGTTTAACATAATGTAGAATGCACAAGTGTCACTGCACCTTAAAAGGAAGTGTTGATACAGACATTACTCTATATGAACATAAAACCAAAGGGCATTTCTTATACGACTACCATTCTGATCTTCAATCAAATCAGCTTGCCTTTTTTTTTTTTTTTAATAATAATTTTGCCTTTATTGCAGTGGCATACACGCATGGTTGGGATTAGACTGCACTAGCATGTCCTTTTCAAAGGGCCATTATTAAGGGCTTTAATCTTGGCCAGAAATATGAGCTGTAAGTTCAAAGCTGGCACACAGTAGTACTCAACAGCAGCATGAAAGCAAGATTATTTATTTATTTAGATTATGCTTGAGCAAACTTTCAGGTGTCAAAAGAACCACAGCAGAATCATAAACAAGATACTTTTTTTTCTTATGCAGCTTCTTTTCCTTAACCAGCAAAACATATTTTGGTTTTGCACAGGACCAGATGCAGTCAGTAAAATACAGTCATTATTTTCCTGACTATTAAAAATAATAAGCTTGTAAACTAAGCTTGTAAACTAAGCTTGTAAACCCTCACAGCTATTGATGAGTTTACTTCTCAGTATCATTCACTTAAGGGGTTAACCATGTATTATTCTGTAGTATTCACAGAAGCAGCTTGAGGTACCGGCTGTAAAACATACATCAAGTGTCATTGTGAGTGTATCTACAATTAAAACCTGTTTCACCTTTCAAATTACCTATGCCTGTTCTTCAGATATAAATACTGTCTACACAGCTTAATATGAATATTCTAGCACCTGCTGAAGCTTCTTTGCCTGGGAATAACATGACATTTGGGAACTTCCCGCAGCTCTGAATCAGGCAAAACTTTCTTCCCTCTCATTGTAATTTTACTTAAGTTTGCAAGACTATCAGGAAATGGCTTCTCGTGTGACTGGTGCACTCTGCAGTACTGACCTCTGATCAGGTCACTTAACAGTGACAATAGTCACAGCTGACCTACAGCTCTGACTTGCTCAGTCAAAGCATTCACAGATGTTTCCCAACTGGCTTCAGTAGTCCCGTGCTCTCTGAAGAAACCACACGCTTACGAATGTGTTATAGAAAACGCATCAGCAAAATACGGGCCGTTTCAAAAGCCCGCATTTTGATCATGTTTATTCTTCAAACAAACAGATGTGTAGTCGTGTATGTGCGGCAGTAACAGCGCTTTTTCTATTCCCCACCAGTGGGCAGCACAATCATAGGCCACCGGGCTGCCAGCGCCGCCAACACAGGACTGCAAGTCGTGCCTGACTATGGATCGTTTATATCCCGGCAACCAGTGTGGTTTGCATTCAAAGTTTCTGTGTGAACTCACAGGAAACTGTGGTTACTGCATATCCCAGAGAAAACGAGGAAAAAATAATAATAATTTAAAAAAAAAAAACAAACCCTAGCTCTGAATTAAGGTTGCACTTTTCTTCAGAGTCATTAGGAGAAGAAATTCATAATTGTAAGTATTCTGTCAGCCAGTGATTCGATTAATTCAACTAATAAAAGGAAGATCATAAAATAGACCTTCCTAAGAAAAATAGCTTAGAATTTATTATTTAAAAAGCACAACCTCTTCCTCACATATACAAGAATTCCCACTGATGGTGACCAAGATCTAGGGGTACAAGTAAGTATGAGAGGAGATTGGAGATAACTTTGGTAATATCATAGAATCACAGAACCATAGAACAGTTTGTGTTGGAAGGGACTTTAAAGATCATGCACCTTGCTCGTCTAATAAAGGCATCTGCTCTGTCTTATGCACTTCCTAAAATTCATGAAAGCAAAGCTCCTGCCCTGCAGATCTTACTAGAAGATAACTCTCCCCAGCCTCCCTTATTACAGCAAGACACTCCAGTCTGTGGTTGGAGATAAGGAGCTCTGACTGTTGGTGTGAGTTTCTAGTAATTACTTAGCATTTAAAATCGACCATGGAGGAGCTAGCTGTAATGATGGAAATGCAGGTTCAGAGAACATGAGTTGAATACAGCTCAAAAAAATGTGACTTTCTCATATTAATGCTGGAATTACCAGCCTTTATATTGCATTTTGTGTGAAAGATAACTATGCTGAAATGTTATTGTATCAGAAAAAGGGGGAAAAAAAGATACATCTTTCATCACATAACTGTGTTAGAAGGGACCAATACAATTGACAGGAAATTGAAGAATACAGAGGAGCAGAAGGGTCAGTCTTAAGAACAAACTCACAAAAGGAGGGTAGGAAAGGACATATGCAAACTTCCTTCCTCTCTACTTTTTCTCCTAGGAGTTAGCAGGGGCCAAAACCTAATGGATCACTGCTAATGGAAGCCTGCAGTGGCTCAGGATGCATTAGGATGCTACTATATTTAGGTTTACTGTCCATACGGAAACTAGATGCAGGTTTCTTGAGCTTGAGATAAACACAGCAGTATATCTGACAAGTGCAAGTCTTATGCGCGCATTCTTCCCCTTCCTAACAAAGAATATATCAATACAATAGACAGACACTACTTAAATGTGTGTGCTGATATGGCTGATACCAAAACTACAGAATAGTTGGGAGACAGACAATAAGCTGAAGACGCTTTCCACCAGCTGAACCCTGCTTCCTCAGACAAAGGCAAAGCTTCAGGAATCTCCACACAAGCTCACTAACTGCCATGACCTTTCGAGCCGATCTCAGTATCAAAAGTGCTGAGAATCTGAAATTCCCAGATTGAAAACACTGAAGTTACTTGGTTGCTCTGAAAACCTGACTAGTAGATCCAAAAGCTGTACAGTCAACACGCAGCTCCATGTAGCCTTCAGATGACAGACACTTTAATTATATTATCACTTAAATAATGTACTTCAAAAAATTATTATTGTGCAATGCTGTATCCCTTCTATCAGATTTTACTATCAAAGGTATTAACCCCATACACACAGCTCAGGAACAGCAATTCTGTGAAGAAAATGGATAGGACAAGAGAAAGTCTAAACTGACACCTTCCTTTGCAAAAAAGAGTAGAAAAGAAAGATAAAATACACCCTTGTAGCAACAAGAAAATAACACAATTTCCAAATGGTTCATAGCAATACTGCCAGTGTTTTTTATTCTTGAAGTATAGGATGTTTTCAGCTACTTTTACTCTTCTTTTTCTACAATAAATTGTCTTAAAAGTCTGGTCACTGTCATATGGCCTCAGTTTAAAAAAGATAAAGACATAAAATTTCCATGCTTTGTCAGTGAATTCTGAAAACAAACTAACAAGGCTTTTGCAAGGTTCAAATTACACCCATTTTTTCTAAAGATTGTTGAGTACTTAACATTTGTTACACATTAGTAAGAAAATAAATAACACTTCTACTATAAACAGCTTTATTTTGCTTAAAAGAAGAATAAGCAAAGGCCAATAAAAACAAAACTGCAGACTTACTGTAATCCATGGCATGTTGACAAGGCAACAAACGATACAGGATTTCCTCGAATTTCTCCCTGATAATAGCAATGTTCTCCTCCCTGAAGTTGGAAATTGACAATATTAATCCACAGGATGCCCCATAGTATCACACTCCATCCACACACACATCCACTGACACACAGTGTCAAACACTGCTTTTTCATTAATCCACTGCCAACCCACTGACAAGTGGCACCAAGAATTGACTATCATTCATAAGGGTGTTCACCTCATCTCCCTTCAGCAATGGTTTTGGTACCTAGACAAACACCACCATGCTCTACACTGAACAGATGTATTTACAGTGTTAAAACCCTAGCATCCTGACACAGATTTCAGATACAAATTACTCCAGAAGTGCTCATCTTTCTTCATTGGCTAGGAAAGAAGTTGGAAATAGGGCACTTAAACCCAACACATAATCTGTACACTGCTACATCAGACAAGATGAATTCTTCTCTGAGGGTAAGGCAATTTCCTACTTCTGAGGAGACAAGTATGCATATCAAAAAATAATAATACTTGATTTAAAAAGAGAACAAATCATAAGTGCTCACTAGTGCTCCAAAACTAATGGAAACTTTAAGTAAGCATTAAAGGAATACTGTGAAAATTAATATTTGCCTCCTCTGCAAATAAAATATACACCTTTCAAATAAAAACCAGCAGACCTTACTAAAAAAATTTCTCCCCCCCTTAGATTCACAGAGTCACACTGATAGCAAAGTAAGCCTTACTGCACATCCACTGAAGATACTGTCTTGCACAGTATCAGTGCGTGTGTGCAAAATTAGAAAAACAATTATAACATCCCTTAAATTCTCACTGCCGCTCTACCCTGCACAGGAACTTACTTATTAGTGCCTTGCCAAATTCAGCTATGTCATACATATTACTACAGTATTGTTGGTTAAAGGACTTAACACTTTTACTGTTTCTATTCCCTACCAGCAAATGTATGAATGATCTACCTAGCATAATATACCCAGCCATGTGAATATTTATGTCCATTTACTGCAGGGAGGGAAAGGCATTACAACTACTGCTTTTTCAGAAGCCAGCAGTCATGATGCATAGCACAATCATTTTCAATGTCTGACATTAAGTGCTGTTGGATTATTTTTTTCATATATGGTAAAAACTTACTAATCAAGATCAGGCAAAGGGCAAGAAAACACATAGAATATGTTGGTTGTTTTGTGTTTTGATCAGGAAACCTCTTGTGTTTTCTACCAGACATGCAAACTATTTTTGAAAGCAACTACAAAGTATGAGAGAGCCTCAGTTTTGAGCTGCTCTCCTTAAGTACGTACAGAAACCTGTTTGTCAGAGCATGGCCACTCACAGGGAATGAGACCTGATCTCCACCTAGTCACTGGAAATCTTTTTCAAAAACTTATCTGGAGAAATTCTTTCTGTTTTCAACTGTTCACAGACCTGTGAAGAGAAAAGTACTTAAAGCTACAAAGTCTGGGACTGGTTCTGTACAGGACCAGTCAGGACAACTGAAGGGACTCTACATATCAACGTTTCCTTTAGAACACGTAATTTTGGACAAGATGTTTACTGTTGTTAACTCCCTGTAGAGCTGAGGCTGAAATCCTATTGGTTTTGACATGTACTAAGGCTCCTTTACAGCAGGTACTGTAATTAAATACACTGTATTACAGCCAAATCACAGTATTTGAGAGATTTAAGACTACTAAAAGACTAAACATAGTAATTACAACCATCTTCTTCTACTTTACTCCTGGCAACACTCATTGAAGGACTGGAGTTGTGTTTCCTCTTTATTGCTATCTGTAGCAGTGAAATAGTTGGGAAAAAATCTTTGTTTTTTCCTTAAAATATTCTGGTGAAAATTAAGACTTCTCCCAAAAGCTGAAATTGGCGCTATTACAAACAACATTTCAGTCCAGAGCATCAAGGGTGTTTTGTGAAGAGCTTTTGGCTTCCTATGGCTATCAGAGCCTCTCTGCTCTCTCAAGAGCAGGCAGTAATTGCCCATCTCAGCAAATCAAATCTCCTCTCTGGCCTTTGCCAGCTACTGCGGAATGGTTTAGTATGAAGACATGCCAGTCATCAGCGTGAGCAGGAGGACGTTTATCCCCTTCTGCTCTAGAACTGAACCTGGCCAGTGTCCAGTCTGGGAGAAAAATAAGGCTAAATAATCATCATGAGACAAGGTCAGCCCGGTGACAATGCCTGTGACACCAGCCTGCAAAACACACACGCACACATGCTCCCACCACCTCCAAAGGCAGTCTAAGGCTACAGCAGAGAGAAGGTCAACATTCTTGCCTCCCCAAAGCACATAGCAACTGTTCTTGTTGTGGTTAGCACAATGCAAGGCAAGTTTTCCTCCAATGCCTGTGGCATGCACTTGTCCATTCCCTTGGTTCAGTAAGTTCTCCTTCCTTCACAAAACTCAGCCTTACCAGCGATCTCCAAGAGCAACAAAGAACATACACATATTCAGTAACAAGTCTGTTGATTTGGGGAACTAAAAATGTAATGCCTCCTAGCAAAAAAAAAAAAACAATGCAAGGCAAGTTTTCCTCCAATGCCTGTGGCATGCACTTGTCCATTCCCTTGGTTCAGTAAGTTCTCCTTCCTTCACAAAACTCAGCCTTACCAGCGATCTCCAAGAGCAACAAAGAACATACACATATTCAGTAACAAGTCTGTTGATTTGGGGAACTAAAAATGTAATGCATCCTAGCAAAAAAAAAAAAAAAAAAAAAAAAAAAAAAAAGACCCCAAAAAATCCCCAAACAACAACAGGGAAAAAAAACCACAACCAAACCCAACACACACACAAAAACCCAAACCAGAGTATCTCCAGAGTCAATTAAAACAAACTAATCATTATGACAGTAGTCAGTTTATGACTTTATCTTGATGCTTAATTTGGGTAATTCTAGCAAAATCCTGAATCTTGTCCTGTGACCTGCTACAGCTCCATGCCAGCCAGCATGCAACCCTTTTTGCCCTTGTCAGTCCAAGTTTCCCTGCAGCCTATGTGGACAGGTAGTGTAGCAAAGATACTAAAAAACAAGAAGGCAGAGATGTTAGAAATGCAAGTAAAATCTGTCCCCGCTTCTACCCTTGAAGGTAGTTTGTCCCTGCCCAGAGAGGCAGCAGCTGCAGAGTAAACACAAAAGAGAGAAAAAAATACATTAATCGTTATTCCTAATGAAGGAGGGAAATAAGTAAAGCAAAAGAACAGCCATGACAGTCAGTGATGGTAATGGTTCACTCTTCTCTGCAGTCTCAGTGAAGAAAGCATCTGCTGACCACACACTGAGAGTGTTTGTTATTCACCTCAGAGGCACTATGACCTTCCCAGGGGAGGAAAATTAAGGATGCACATTCATCTGCTTTCAACTAACACGCATTGGATCTTCAAGTAAACAGTTGTCTGCAATTAGGAGAGGTAGGTGCTAGCCATTAAAACTATGCTACACTCAGGCACCGACCTTAAAATTAACCAATTCCAGAAGCTACATATTCCTATTTTAACACTCATTAATCCAAAGGAAAGGAGATTGCTAGTCTAGTTCAGATCCCAGTAGCATAGCTCTCTACTTCCTTGCAGCAGAAAGCTCCCAAAAGATCGGCTAACAACCCTGCCACTGCTCTGTGAAGTGCCAGATAATGATTAGCTTTTCAAAGAACTACCCATTGCAGGGCCACTAATTTTAAAACTGCTTCCTTAGTAATCAGTTAGATCTATTTACAAATTATTGATGCTTGCACAAGTTCTGACCCAGTGATAACTAAGATTGCATGGGAAAGAGCTACAGGAGAAGAAAATGCACACCCTCCCATGCACTTGTATGGCAGAAAACAACTTAGAATCATAGCATCTGAGAATGGTTTGGGTAGGAAGGGGCCTTAACGATCATCTAGTTCCAACCCACCTGCCATGGGCAGGGGGACACCTCCCACTAGAGATCAGGTTGCTCAAAACCCCATCCAGCCTGCCCTTGAATACTTCCAGGGATGGGGCATCCACAAATTCCCTGGGCAACCTGGCCCAGTGTCTCACCACCCTCACAGTGAAGAACTTCCTCCTAATTTTGAAACTTGTTACGGATGGGTTTATATTTATAAATAGAATCGTGAAAGCAGCACTTTGACCTGTGTAACTGCATGGAGAGAATCTCTTTTAATTGGCATGCTTAAGCAAATTCAACCCAGATGGCAGAGCTGTGCTGTCCTGCAGCAGAGCCCTGGGCTCAGCCCTTACACAGCTCAGTAACAACTTCAGGGACCCTGGCATCACCTCTTTGCAGAGTAAGTCTCTGAACTTAGCTACAGTGTACTGTAGACTCCTGAAAGCCCAGTGTTTTGAAAATGTGAATGGTGCCCTCCCTTTGCAGGACAGCTGTCACATGTACTCACACAACTGAGAGCCAACATGCTGTAGCCACATTATGTTATAGTGCTATTTCAGATTCAAAAATCAGAAATATGGATTCCAAAATTAGGATAATACATCACCACTTCTAAGGCTTCTCCACAAAATGCCCATGTTTAAAGACTGCTGGCAGTACTCTTAAAAAACATAGACAATGTGTACATGACAGGATTCTGCACACAGGCAACTGCAACTGCCATGACTCGTAGCAGGCACTTTCAGCAGATGGCCTGTGCTATCAGCCCAGCTCCCCAGTTCAGAGGCCAAATGAGGCTTCTGTTTACTGCCCAATAGCAATGAGAGAAGATGCTCCATGTACGTAGCTGCAGGGTATGGACAGAGAACTCATGCCAGTGCAATGCCATCTGGTCTGAGAGCTGCCTTGGCATCTGCTTGGGAAACAGCCTCTTGACCTGCCTTGCCTTATTTTGGTGTTACAGAAAATTATTTTAATTATCAGCTACTGGATGAAGCTGAGGCAAAGGAGAACAGGATTGGTTACCTCTTCCTGCCCACTCTGTTATCTTTAAGCCTGCTCTTCTAGCAGTGCCTTATGTCTCTGAGTCATGGCACATGTGTCATTTTAATGGCAGTCATTTTGCCCCATTCCTGCATACCTCTACGTAGGGAAAAAGG